CTCAAACTAAACACAAGATTGAATAATTGTGATTGATATTATATTTCAGAACAATTGAATAAAGCTGCTTTTCCATGCCCTTGGAAGCTAGAAAATGGGTTCAAAAAAGTATTTGGTTTTTGGGAAAATTTTGCATCTCCAGTTTGGAAAACATAAGGACTTGCTAGGTAGCTAACAACAATGCATGTGGAAGGCAATAGAGAAAAAGGTATGCCTCAAGCTAGCAACCAATAAAATAAAGTTCATCTCAAAATTAGACATCCACACACTTAAGGTGTGGGAGGGAATAGGAAGAGTGTGGTTGAATAAACACATTCATTTGGTACGTCGGACTGTACTGACTAATTTATGATGGATAATATTAATTTGTTTCGGAGAGTACTGACTATTTATCCATAATATTATAAGGCGTTTGGTGCTGTTCCGGATAAATAGTCTGACTACGTTATACTGTGTTTTGGTGCTGTTTCGGATAACATCGGATCATACTATTTTTTTACAAAAAATTCTTTGATAATTTAAGTAGAAATATAGACCATATAATTTGCAACAAAAGTCGAATATATTTTTTTTTAATAGAAAATATTATATATATATATAATTAAGAAAAAAAGAGAATATATTGAAGCCCAACAAAAGTAGGCAAGAAAAGAATCAACAACAAACTATAGCAACACAAAAATAACCAAAAATAAACCAACAAAGCACCAAAAGTAGGAAAAAAATACAGCAAGAAAAACATAGCCACATGTATTGTTCTAATTGCTAACTTGGGATAATAATTTGATTATTGAGTTGGATACCTGGAGAAGATGAAATATATAAAGGAAAAAATGCAAGAAAACTCAGCAGCATGTATTAAGCTGGATACACAGACGCATGATGATAATTTGATTATTGAGTTGGATACACAACTGCATGTATTGTTCCAATACATAAAGAAAATACAACAAGAAAAAAAAGTCAAAAAGGAAAAACTCATAACCTAATTTCCACAAAAATTTAATAAAATAGGAAATATATAAAGACAGAGAAGATGAAGCAAGAAGAGAGAGAGAGAGAGAGAGAGAGAGAGAGAGAGGAGAGAGAGAGAGAGAGAGAGAGAGAGAGAGAGATGGATACCTGGAAAAGAGTGAAGAGAATAAACTTAGAGAAGATAGTAGAGAAGAACCCTTGGGAGAAGAAGATGAAAATAGCGTCGTCGGATTTTTCACATGAACGTTTGTGTTCTTTTTCCCTAATTGTATAATTAAGCGTGTATTATCTCAACCAGGGTGAGTGTGAGTTGTATTAGTTAGTTAAGTAATTAAATAATACAAGTTGACACCAAACACCTGATATGGACTATTTACTCATATCCAGAGTCTAATATGGTGTACCAAACGAGCCCTGTACATTTTATTTTTTATATTGCGAAGTGTGAATATGTATGTATAGTTTGATATAATGCATTTCAATCAATGTCCTTCGGTTTATTTTTATTTTTATAATCAATACATTACATTGAAATCTCAAGAAAGCACATCATAAGAAAGAGAACTAAGTGGTTCTTCTTCGCAAACATAGACTTACCAAAGTTGGTTAGAGCGGATGTACTCTCTACTCTGCACCCAAGTTCAAATCCCCCTCCTTGTAGTTTAGATTAGATTAAAGTAGAATATCACTTATATAAAAATAAAGTGGCTCTTCTTCAACCCAAGTATTAAAAGCTAGGTTCCTCAATGTAAGGCTCATACAAGAATTCATGAATAATATATGATACTAACTTGAGAAATAGTTATTATGAAGAAGCCAATAGCAATAGTATAGTCTTCCTCGCTATTCAATAATTGCATGGTGCACGACTACAATCAAGAGAGTATATATGGTGTAGCTACAAGTTAGGGGGCCTTACTATATATGTTGTCTTCAATTAGGTTTCCCACACATAAAGGAAAACCCTAATTATTCAAGCATTGTGAGCATCCTATCTATTAACGAGTAGAATTGAATGGTCAACGTAGGACTCTAAAGAGGTCAAAGTTAAAGGGCTATGGGTTTGGCTTGAAGTGGTCAAACCTAGGGCTGGCCATTTCTACCGAAACTCAACCAAATTGCTCGAACTAGACTGGTTTGGTCGGTTTGGTCTGGTTTCTTATTTTTTTAATTTAAAATTTAGTAGCATAATTAGACCGAATTGGATGAACCCATCCAGTTCACAATTGCCAGTTTTACAGACCGCCGGTTTGTTGAACCGAATCGACCAACTCCAAAAGACCTTAAATATTTATAAAAACTGTACTAAAGGGGTTTCAAACCCTTGACATGTAAGTCTTTGTTATGTCAGCATACCATTGTTGTGGTTGATATTCTTTTGTTATAATAATAGTATAGAGATGATATTTATACACTTCCCAATAGGATTAAAAAATATTACAAAAGTGTTAGGGTTAAAACCTTAATATATCTTCATTTTTCATCTCAGCACCGTATTCTTCTTCTTCCTCCTCCTCTTCCTTCTCTCTTCTTCCACTATTTATTCTCTCTCTCTCTCTCTCTCCATTTCTTTCTTTCCTTTATTACTTTGCAAAGTTGTCTCTCTCTCTTCTTCCTCCCTTTCTTTCTTTCCGTTATTACTTTGCAAAGTTGTCGTTGTCGTCTTCTAGAGCCCATAGTCCAAGCCTAGTGAAACCATCGTTGGTGCTTGCCAAAACCAACTATAACCACCCCGATTTCTCTGTGAATCTACTGTTTTCAATCTCTTGTCTCCATAAAAGCATAGGGAAGAGGGAGTACTGTCAGGTGATCATTTTGGTCATTGCTCTACACATGGTAGGCTTTATGGTGCATTAAGTGAGGAGTCCACATTTGGTCGATACGTGGCACAAGGTTAGGTCTGCATCCCATAAATCATGGGCTTTGGAGGCATGTGTCTCAAATTGCTCCCTTTTACAAAAATAATGCATGAGACTCAACTTCTTTTAGGGGTTGAGTTGACTAGATTTGGACTACCATGGGCTAGGTATGTCCTTGTGTTGACCCAATCACAAGCATTTCTTTAAGATCTCTACACTGGGTCATAGATGGTATACAAGGTGGTGATGACGTGGCCTCCTCATGGGGAGCCTTATTGGTCATTCAACTTAGGTAGATCAATGTGTCAGAAAAAGTTCCCCAACTCTCTAGTCTAAGGTTCCTTATTGGGTGGAGGCTTGAATCAGCCTTTTGTCCCAAGTCGAATGGTTGATACTTGTAAAATTTGCACCCAAGTTTGGGTGGGTTAGTCTGGCCAAGTCGACTTGAAGGCATCGAGAGTCCTCCCCTCCCCCCACTTTAGACCAACAAGAAACACCTCATTGTTGTTGATGAACTATGCAACTGGCACACACATACAAACCACACAAAATAGAAGCGTACACACGCACACACTACATAATAAAAGCAAAAATATAGAGAGAACACAAGAATTTATAGAGATTCAGCGTTGTGCCTACATCCTCTTGGTGATCACCCTGAGAAATTCACTAGTAATAAGAACACCTTTGGTTACAATGAAGAACCCCATTAGCTCTTACTATACCCTAGCTCTATTATTTTGCGTGAGTCTAAGAATAGCCACCTGAGCACCCCTCACGTCTGCTCGAGCAACAACACACTGTCTTTGGATTAACAGCCCCGTTATGACTTGCTTCCTCAATTCCTTCAGCATCTTTTAGGTGAGCCAACATCAACACTCCTTTGTGTCTGATGTTTGCATGTAAGTGACCATCATGGTTGGTACTAAACTAGATGTCTTAGGTCTTGGGTTGGGGGCAAATGCCCAACCAACCCTTCACTATCGAGACACCACCCAAAAGGAATTCGGTCGACACCTGCAATCAGACCTAGTAAGGTTGCCTCACTCATGGTTGGCACCGTCATGATCAGGTTATATAAGGGTAATTAGCTCGGAGACTTGGCCTTGAGGTGTCCAGAAGAACGAAAGCACCACCTTCCCAAATTGTGGCTTCAAACCTGCAGCTTTTGATATGTCGGCGACTTATTAGACCTTATGCTAGACATGACAAAAGACAAATGAACCATGAGCGTCACCGCCTTAATGAATCGCGAAATATCCTCTCATGATCCATATGTCAGTACACTGTTAGGCCTCCATTCAAACACTCGCTTGGCTTAAAAGTAGCTGCTTCTTCCCACGTTGAAGAGACTATACCTCCTCCCTTTGCCTATAAAAGGGGGTCTTGGTGCAATGAGAGATCGAGATATTCTCACTTTCTTTCTCATAGAATTCATGCATTCCACGCTTCTCTTGTAAACCATTTTTTTCTTTTGTGCATTCCACAAAAACTTAAACTAAATACATGATTGAATAATTGTGATTGATATTATATGTTTCCAAGATGAGGATATATATACAAGTACAAGTTGACTTTTCCTACAAGAAAAAGTAACTAGCTAATTACAAGGAATCCTAACTAAGTAGTTATTCTAATTAGGTAAATGTGAATTACACTAGGAAATCATGGATCATGAGATCCCTGGATTATGGCTCACGCCAACAGTCCAAATCAAGTTGGGGCATAGATATCTCATATGCCCAACTTGTCAAGTGAGTCATGAAAAACCTTTGCTGACACCACATGCATTAAGACATCTGCCAGCTGTTCTTCTGACTTTACAAAAGGTATATCAATCAGCTTATCTACCAGCCTCTCCTTGATACAATGCATATCCACTTCAACATGCTTAGTTCTGTAATGTTGAACTGAATTATTTGCTATCTGTCTTGCAGCTTGGTTGTCACAGTAAAGCTCCATGACTTTCTTTGGTGCAAAACTAATTTTGGACATAAGTATCCTTAGCCAAAGAAACTTACAAACTCCCTGTGCTATGCCCCTGTATTCTGCCTCAGCTGAAGATTGAGCCACCACATTCTGTTTCTTACTTCGCCATGTAACCAAATTACCTCAAATTAAAGTGAAGTAACCTGATGTAGAACGTCTATCTGTTATATTGTCTGCCTAACTTTCATGTGTATAACCCTTGACATCCAAATTTCCCAGTTTTCTGAATATCAAGCCTTGGCTTGGAACTTTCTTCAAATAACTCAAAATCCTCATATCTGTCGCTAAGTGATCATCGGTAGGAGAATACATGAACTGGCTAACAACACTAACTGCATATATATTATTTAGCTCAGTATGCCAAAGATAAATTAGTCTTCCCACTAAGCTCTGATATATCCCCTTATTGGGTGGCACTTGATCAGGATAGATTGCTAGGTGATGATTTTGCACAATAAGGGTTTTGGGTGGTGCACACCCTAACATACTAGTTTCTATCAACATGTCTAAAACATACTTTCTTTGAGAGAGACAAATACTAGTAGCAGAGCGAGTTACTTCGATTCCCAGAAAATACTTCAAAGCCCTCAAGTCCTTCATCTTAAACTTCGAGGCTAAGTACTTCTGTAATTTACCCATTTCAACAACATCATCACGAGTATCTACCAAATCATCAACATAGATTATCAGTAAAGTAATCTTACCATCCATACGTTTGATAAATAGGGTATGATCCGAGTTACTTTGATGATATCCATACTTCTTCATTGCTTCAATGAACCACCCAAACCATGCTCGCAAAGACTACTTCAATCCATAAAGAGCCTTTCTAAGCCTACTTACCTTCCCATTACTATTAGACAACCCATAACAGGTGGTATGTTCATGTACACTTCTTCTTCTAGATCTCCATGCAAAAAGGCATTCTTCACATTGAATTTCATGAGAGGCCAATCTAAATTAAATGCTAAGGACAATATAATTCGCATCGTATTCATTTTTGCCACCGGAGCAAACGTATCCTGATAATCAACTCCATACGTCTGCGTATACCCTTTGGCCACAACTCTTGCTTTATATTTGTCTATTATGCCATCCGCTTTGTGCTTAGCTGTGTACACTTATTGACATCCAATAGGTTTCTTTCCTTCAGGTTGTGGAACTATCTCCTATGTTTCATTCTTCTGTAAGGCCTCTATATTCACATTCATTGCTTCCACCTACTTTGGGTCTTGCAAAGCTTTTTCCAATATATTAGGAATTTTATTTCCTTCCATCTAACTGACAAATTCTGTACCTTGAGGAGACAATTTGTGTGTGGATACATAATCATCAATCGCATATTTCACCTTTCCTTTTGATGAGAATCTGTCTCGTGGTATTCCCCTATTTGCTCGTGCATGTAATTTTTTTAAAATTTCAACAATATTTTGAGAAGCACTAGGATTTGAAGTACTTACCACAGGGATGTTCAGTGGAGCATGAGTAGGTATGTTTGAGAGAGGGGGGTCATTGCTGTCTAGTTCAAGGTTGTTCGGCTCGATTCGACTGGTCGGTAGCCTGCCTTTAGCAGCTGTGCTGAGCAGCTAGGGTTCCAGCACACTATTTTGTGCTTCTTTCCCCTGTATTTCTATCTCAAACCAATTATGTGCTTATTTTACTGTATTCTCCCTTGGAAGGACATGATTGGGCATATGTAACATAAAAAAAATATCATTTTCCACAAATGTAACATCCATGGTAACATAAAAGCGGCAACTGGAGGGATAGTAACATTAGTAACCCTTTTGTTGAGGTGCAAAACCCACAAAGACACAACGGAGGGTGCACGAATCCAACTTGGTATGGTGACATTTATTGAGATGGGCATACACCACACAACCCAAAATGCGCGGAGTAAGATTAAGATGGGAACAAACAAGAACATGAGTAGCCAATGTGTGAAGTGGTGTTTTAAAGCTTAAAACAGGTGAAGGCATACGATTAAGAAGGTATATAGCTTCCTGAATAGCTATAGTCCAAAGGGTTTGGGGAACACACCCCCCAATAAGGAAAGCTCATGCAGTTTCAAGGATATGACGATTTTTACGTTTAGCCACACCATTCTGTTATAGAGTCTGTGGACACGTAGTTTCATGGAGAATATATTTTTCAGTGAAAAAGTCTGCGAGTGTGTGGTTAACAAATTCCCATCCATTATCTAAACTAACAACTTTAATTGAACACAAATTCTTGAATAAATAACCAACTTCACTTTTATGCTTCATAATATAAAGCCAAATTAACTTAGTACAATCATCAATGAAGATCACAAACCACTGAACACCAAAGACAGTAGTAATTGGAGATGGACCCCAAACATCTGAATGGATTAAATCAAAAGGAGATGTGCTTTTATTTGCAACAATACAAGTCTCACATTGAAAATCAGAAAGTTTTACTCCACTAAATAGAGATGGAATAAAAAACTGCAAATAACCAAAGGAAACATGACCTAATCGCAAATTCCATAACCAAATCTTCTTATGCTTCTTACTGAAAACGCCCTGAACTTGATAAACCTAACCCGGTGCAATGTCATCCATATAGGAAAGCCCCACTCTCTTAGTACCACACCCAAAGATCTCCTCGGTCGGAATATACTAAATCAAACAAAAGGAAAATAACATGAGCACGCAACAATCCAACTGTTCAGTAACTTGCCCAATTGATAATAAATTATGGGACAAATCTGGAACAAGCCAAGTTTTTTGTAAAGAGAGGGTAGGAGTAAGAGTGATGGAACTAGCCCGAGTGACTAAGTTAGATTCGCCGTTGGCAATAACCACGCTTGTTTGGTAGGAGCAGTCATAGAATGAAACAAGGATTTATCATAGGTCATATGATCAATAGCACCCTAATCGATAATCTAACTTGTAACTCGTTGGTTGGAAAACACCAAAGCTTTTCCCTGGTTACCTTCGCAGTCAGCACGCTATAGAATGGATAACTGAGAGAGAACAGTATGAGAATCATCAACTAAAGGAGCTCCATGGGCGAGGTTAAGACACCCGAGGTAGCATCGGAGACTGGGCCAATGGAAGACTGGCCGGCTGCAGAGACAACAACTACACCTTTCTCGCCATTCTTTTTCTTCGCCTGCGTCATATTTCGTTGCTTCTGGCTTTCAAGGAACCACTCCGAAAACCCATTCTTCTGGCTTTCATTGCTTCTAGCCTCTGTATGACGATTCCCATTATTGTAAATGCAATGCATGTTTTATTTTTCCTTAAGGGTTGGACATGGAAATGAAAAACTAGCAGCACGAGCTTTGGAAATTATTACAACAGAGGATTCAGTCTTTCCATCCTTCTTGAGCATCGTCTGACACAAAGCTCAGAGCGTTTTCCTCAGCTAGAGCCACCTCCCATGTTAGATAACCTTTTTTTCCCTGGTCTGACACATAAAGCAACATCATCTTTGACTAAGTTCTATAGTTCTTTCCATTCAATTGTACGATGAATGGGCTAGCGGAAGTATTATTTCAAACTGTAAAAATTGGTTGTGCCATGTCAAGATTTTTGAGGGGTTTCTGAAGCACTGGATTTTGCGGCTGCGGTGGGGTTTTCTGGGGTATCTTCGAAAGCTATGGAGGAGAGAGAATGCCACACTAGGTTTGTGATTTAGGCTCTATTTTGAGGCTGTTGTTTTTTGTATTCGGAGCTAGAGGATGTCGATGGGTAGGGTTTGTATTTTTGTTTGAGAGACCGGGGTTAACCGGCTCTTATACCAACTTAAAATAAACACATAATTGAATAATTGTGATTGATATTATATTTCTCCAAGAGGAGAATATATATACGAGTACAAGTTGACTTTTCCTACAAGGAAAAGTAATTAGCTAATTACAAGAATCCTAACTAGGTAATTATTCTAATTAGGTAACATGAATTACACCAGTAAGTGAGAGATCATGGGATCCCTGAATTATGGCTCACGCCAACGCAAAATACCTACGTCCTTGTAGTTATGAACATCAAGTGTGAATAACACACCACCTTAGTTTCTCATTTATTTTCTCAACCTCATTTTGATCATGAACACCTTGTCCACTCTTTGGTTAAGGTTTTGCGACCTAAACTCCAAAGCAAGAAAGTTACTTGGTTCTAGACTCATTCGTTTTACTTGTACTATTTTTGGCTCCTAGATAACTGCTTATATCAATCCTACAAAACATCTTCACATTCTTATTTGTATGATCTATGCTGCCAAGGACGGTATTGTTCACATGCTTAAGTGGGTTGTAGTCTAGTGCAAAAATATGTAGAAAACTAAAGGAGGCCCAAATTTTATAAGTTATTTCTACTCCCCAAAAATTTTAGCATACCCCACTTGCCTTTGTTTAATATTCTTTTTCGCCAAATGTTGTAACTTGCCTTTGTTTAATATTAGTCCAACCTTTTTTGGGTTGACTCTAATATAATATAGCTAATAAAAAAATACATATTGTTATTTAATAGTATATCTTCACCCCACTTGCATTCTCTTTGCCTACTTACCTTTTTTTATTGTCAGATTTTTCCAAATAACCTTAAACCCTATTCTTTGGCTTTTGTTTGGCCTAACAAAGCAGTCCTCTGTTTTCTTTTCTCTCAACCATGAAAAAGTATCTCATATCTCTTTGAACTTTGATTAGGAGGCAATAAAGAATCATAGGTGTTTTTACTTTATTTCCTCTCAAGGTAAACTTGATTGTAGTTTTCAATCTATTTGCTTATGTTGTGTATTTACTAAAGAATGCTATTCTAAATATTTGGGTTTATATTATATGTATTTCTACTACAGGTATTGACAAATTAAGGTGATTTGAAACGCCACCAACGCTACAATACGCTTAGGTTCATGTACAATAAATTTTCTTTTTTTTTTTTTTTTTTTTTTTTGTTTACATATAAATATTTATAGTTGGTACATTGAATATTAGTGTTAAATATTGGCTTTATTTTCCATGGCTGCAGTTGGATTGCATATATTTTGGATTGCTTATGTTGGATTGCATTTGCATTGCTTCTAGCTTTATAGTACTCTTGTTTGGACATAATGTCACATGTTGATGATAATAGACCAACAAAGAGGGGAAAAACAATTGATTCATTCTTCAAAAAAATGGGTAATGATACTTCAATTCTGGAAGAACCTATGCATCTCAAACCTCAAATAGTTGGACCTAAAGAATTTGATGCTACTTCTTTAGAACCGGATCCAGGGAAACGCATTGCAATTTGTGAATACCCCATTAATCAACATGATGAGATTCAAAGGGCGTATATCAAATTGGGGCCTTATCAACCTAAACTTTTTGAGTATCCAAGGACTTTGTTCGGGAAACAGAGACATCGATTTCAATATTCTTGGTTCTCACAGTTTCCATGGTTAGAGTATTCTCCTTCGTCACATAAGGCATATTATTTACCATGCTTTGTTTTTGAAGAAAAAATCTAGCATGCAATAATTACTGATGGGTTCAACAATTGGAAAAGAGTTAATGATGGAAAAAATGGTGCATTTTTGCTTCATGTTGGAGGTCCATCTTCACTACATAACAAATCTGTAAGATATATTGAGGACTTAATGAAATCTTCTCAACATATTGAGAAAGTTATTCATGAACAACCGAAAGAGAAAGTTTTGAAGAACCGATTACGGCTCCAGGCAACAATTGAGAATGTTCGATGGCTCACATTTCAAGCATGTGCTCTTAGAGGTAATGATGAATTGATAGACTCAATAAATCGTGTTGAATTGATAAAATATACAGCTATGAATTTAGTACGTAATACAAAAGATATTCTTAAGGAATTTAGATTGGATGGATGAGATATTTTTCTAGAAAATGTGGAATCATTTTGCAAAAAAATGACATCGATATGCCAGATATGAATGCTCGTTATAAAGTTGGTACACATCGTTCTTGTCAACAACGTGATGATATTACAATGGAGCTACAAAGTTGATTTATTCAATGATACAATAGATTATCAATTGGAAGAGTTAAATAGTAGATTCAGTGAAGGAACAATGGAACTTCTTATTCTTAGTTATGCTTTGGACCCTACCAATGATTTTAAAGCATTTAAGATTGATGATATTTGCAAGCTTGCAGAGAAATTTTATCCTACTGATTTCATTGTTAAAGACTTGCATTTGTTGAGGTGTCAGCTAGAACTTTTTGAATTTGAAGTACATCAACAAGATCTTGATATCTTTCAAAATATGTCTACTCTTTCTGAACTATGTCAAGTATTATATAAAGCAAACAAAGCAAAGACATATTATTTGATTGATAGGTTGGTTCATTTAGTGTTAATTCTTCCATTTTGTACAGCAACTACAGAACGAGCATTTTCAGTTATGAAACATGTTAAGACTATACTTCGCAACAAGATGGAGAATGAGTATCTTGCAGACTCCCTTATTGTTTATATTGAGAAAGAACTTTGTGTGAATATTAATTCAAATTCAATAATCAATGACTTTGATTCACTCAAGGAGCGTAAGGTTCCACTTCACTAGGCCAGCTTTGTTTTAATTTTTTTGCAATGCAATATTTGTTTGATGTTTGACAATATGTGTTTAATAGTATATATATATATATATATATATATATATTAAAGAAAAGTAAGCTTATAATAGATATCTCATTATATATAATAAAAAAATTAATTCACCCCTTAAAAAATTCTTAGTTCCATCCTTGTATGCTGCTATGCATTGCGGTGGAAATAGCCATAGTGCGATGGGATTATATGCTCAAACCAACGTCAAGAAGACGAAATAGTATGATCGGTTTCAAACTGTCAAGTGCATTCGATATGATTGAATGAAATTAGAAGTTATATATTAGAACATATTCTTATTATTAGAGAGGTGTGTAATTAGATAAGATATATCATACATTCTTGTTATTCCAATGGATTATTATAAAGATGAATATTGAAACTTGTCATATGTAACTTAAATTTACTTCTCACTAGCTATTCGTATGCTTAAATGAATGTTTTACATTGCCGTTTGTTTATGTCAAAAACTCTCCCTGCACCATTTTTCCAAATGCCTTAATTTGTGAAGTCAAATGGACAAAAGAGGCCCAAGTACAAACTGTGAAAAAAATAAAGTGCAAACTATAAATTTGATCACTGTTCTGGCCAAAAGAGATTTTGATATCTTTATTTTTGTCCTTTTCTTAGTGTGAAATTCCCATATATAGTTCCATATGTTCTAAACTACCCATATATAGTTCTCTCACCAAAAAACTTACAATCCAATCCACAGCCTATGATCCAAAAAAAACAGAAGAAAAATATCAAATTCAGCGTTTCTGATAGACTTGAAATCAAGCACTGTTCAAGAGTATCAACAAGCTAAGCACACCTTAGCTTAGCCTGGTCCTAAAGCAAGAATTGAACTTACGAAAAGAGAAAAGCAAGAATTTAATTCCATAGGTTTTACTAGTGTAAAAGCACTAATAGATGTAAACAGTGCGTCAGTTGGTCCCACTTAAAGGCTACGCAGATCATTGATCAAGTAACCATTACATCTCAAGACTGTGAATTAAGTGGATTCAACAAGAGTCTTCATCTTCCCACTAGGTCCTGTTTGCTTAATTCCAAAAAGCTGGAGTAAGCACTTTTGTTACTTTCTTTTGGGCAGTGTGGGGGCCAAGAAAGAAGATGACAGCATCACCTCAATAACACAAGGAAAAAGTGCTTTTGTCCGACGCAGAATGATGTGGAAGGAGCTTGGTGACTACTGCAGCTCTACATGGAAACCCAAATTCCCCAAAATCACTGCTGGCTTGAGTTTAAGCACTTTCAATTCTCTAGCTTTAGGCATCCTCACATTCATTTGTGCTTGTAGATTCATCTACATATCCATGAATAACTAACACTGCTAAAAATTTATTCAATGATTATATGCCTAACAAGAAAAAGTTGAAATGCGAAAATATTTTTCACATTCTAATTCTATATATCTTTTAGTAGTTTATTTCACCGATGTCAAGAAATGTGGATTGAAAACTATCTCACCAATTAACATGTCTATAACCTAATTTAACCTCGGTTCGAGCAAGATAAAAATAAGTTGTATAACATAATGTGCAAAATTGAATTAGAATGATGAGGCCACATAATCATGTACCATATGATGAGGGGAACAATAGAAAACATGTTGTCGGGTTATTTTACTTGACTATAATATATAGTCTGGTTATACCTTGTAACTGTGTTCTAATATCATAAAATAATTCAAGTTGTATATAATCATATGTTTATCTATCTCCTTGCGTAATGAGAGAAATACACAGCCGATGACCTTAACAATTATAAATTATGTACTTAAGAATTGCTAATATATTTCTGATTATATACGTGATGGGAGAGATAAACACATAATCTTAATGAGTTACTACAGTGTGTGAACTGAGTTCAAGTTATGTGGACGTGGGCCAGTACCATTTAGAATTTTGTGTACGCGTCAGACAAGCAATCTTTTGAAACTTTCGGTGTCTGTGTGCATTTTTGGACTGTTTGTTCCCCCAAATACCTATATATAAGCAGACCCCATTTCCCACTCCTTTTACTCTACCTTTCTTCCTCCTCTCCTATTTTGTTTTCTCGACACTGGCCCTTGTTCTAACAACTCTTTATTGGTCACATTTTCCCAACTGCCATTGCCCCCACATTAATTTTTTTTCTTCAATTTCTAGCAAATTTTGAATGGTTTTAAGTGTTGTGATAGGTTCCAGTTTTGGAAGTTCTAACCAGTTTTTGTAGTTGAAGTCCTTGTGCATTTTCTGTTTGAATACAAGAATTTGACACTCTTATAGTGAAATTTGAGCAATATCAGCTTCCGGGTATTGCTTCAAAGCCTTCAATTTTGTTCCTACTCATCTTGTTTTGGGAATTTAAAGAAAATCTGTGAGGGGGGTTGGTGGGGGGTGACAAATCGATCATAAGAAGCACATTTTCAAAGACAATGATTCTGCTCTTCAACGGGTTCAACCTGTGGAAGTTTTACTCAGTTCTTGATAAGAAATTAATTTTTGATAAAAGCTTTTATTTCTGGATTTTCCAGATCTTCAATACGTACAGTTTGGGCTCATAGCTACAACTTTCATATCATTCCTCATTATCTTCCTAGCTCTCCGCTGTTATAATTTTCATATATTTTTTTCTTTCAAATTTGGGATACTTTTAAGAATTTGGATTAGTTAGGAGGAGAGTGGAGTTATGGGTGGAGCATCACTACCACCAGGTTTTAGGTTCCACCCAACTGATGAGGAACTAGTGGGATACTATCTTAAAAGAAAAGTGGAAGGGCTTGAATTTGAGCTGGAGGTTATCCCTGTGATCGATTTGTACAAATTTGATCCCTGGGAGTTACCAGGTAACCATTTAAACAATTTCATTACATTTTTACCTGGTGTTTTGCTTTCTCAGAGATTGAATATGTATGTTAGTGTGTGTCTGCTTACTAGTCTGAACAGAGGATGCCATAAAGATAGTTTTTTTTCCTTTTTTGTTTATTTGAACTTCTTTTCTTCTTCTTTATGAACTAAACCTTCCCAGCATCTCCCTTTTCTGATTGGGCATGTGGGCTTCTTTATTTCCAAAAAGCCAAGCTAATTGGCTTTAGATATTCTTCTATAACAATTCAAATTAAATAAAGTACAAGAACAGTGAAACTTGTTTCTTTTCCAAATTCCAATTGGTTTCAGTAATTCTGGCAATCTGATATACACCTGTGTTTTTATTGCAGAAAAATCATTCCTTCCTAGATGTGACATGGAATGGTTCTTCTTCTGTGCACGTGATCGAAAGTATCCAAATGGCTCAAGAACAAACAGAGCTACTAAAGCTGGCTACTGGAAGGCCACTGGAAAAGACCGGAAGGTTGTCTGTCAATCCACTGTCACTGGGTACCGCAAGACCCTTGTTTTCTATCGTGGACGTGCTCCTTTAGGCGATAGAACAGATTGGATCATGCATGAATACCGTCTCAGTGATGATCTCGCTCAGGGGCCAACAGGTCATCAGGTACATCTACAATGTTATTATGTTTGTTAGACAGTTCCGTAGCTGAATACTACAATTTTCGTTTTAGAGAGCTTTAGATACCTGTTAGTTCAAAAAACTGAAGTTATATTTGGCATTTTGATAATCTCCGCAGGGAGTTTTTGCTTTGTGCCGTGTTATTAAAAAGAATGAGAATGCACAGAAGACAAATGATTCCCATGGAGAGCCTAAGGCCAAGAGGGTTGGAAGTGCTTCGAACAGTGGGGAGGATTTGAGCTCAACAAGAATCTCAAACGAGCCCTTGAACATCTCTGATGATTTATCCTCTCAACCGAGTTACCAGCATAACGAGAGTCATTATTCAAGCCATGTTACTTCTCCATATGAAGTTAATCCAATGGCAGAGTTTGAGCCAACTTCAAGAGAGACCAACCCTGCAGACTTCTGGGTCTCGCCTGATTTTATTCTTGATTCTTCGAAGGTATTAATGCAAGAAAAAGAAAACGAAGAAATTTTGAAAGACTAATGCTCAGATTCTTATAAATTTCTCAAACATTTTTCCTTGGCTTTACTGCAGGACTACCCACAGTTACAAGAAGCTATGCCTAATTACTTTCCACAATACAAAAGTGCAATGGCATCATGGCAGTCATATGAAAACACAGAATCACCTTATTCCTCATACTCAAATTTCACAGGAGACGTAACAATGGCCGATAATGAGAATCAAGTAGCCGACATGTCACCTTTCTCTGGACACACAGGCTACATGGGCTATTATGGGAATGAGGAAATGCAATTTGAAGGTTTTGACCAGCCTAGTTCACTGAGAAATCCAACACCCTTCTGAAAAGAAAAGAAAGGAAAGAGCATGTCACTCTTTCTTTTCACTGCAGGGTCTGAAAACCAAACTCCAATTTGTATGCAAGTTAGCATAGATGTTTGGGGGAACTTGGAGAACTTTGGTCGCAGGAAGACAACATGGTCATTGTGATGTAGGGGTCTGCCCGGTGCCGGATTGATCAACCAGAGTACAATGTATTATGTCATCCAGAGGGGATATCCAAGACAACGCCTTTTAACGTTGTTTCTTGGCGGTTAAAAATAATTATCACTCTTCTTTTACATATAATGAGTGGTTTGTGTTCTCTGCAGAAGTAATGTGTGGACTTTATCTGTTGTTTGGAGTTGTTTCAGAAGCTACTTGTAATCTTCCCCCTTTTTTTTTCAAAACTATGCAGTGTATTAGTACCTCTGGGTGACAATCACTTTTTTCGATTGCACTTGGAGTTGGTTTTTACTAGCTTTAAGGTTTTACAAAGTATGCTTCTTAAGCTACCTTGTTGTGGTTACAATATATACTGTAATTTTCCTCGCCATGAGCATGTGGAAGCATCTTTATGTATTTGATTCCTTTTCTATGATACTAGAAATTATTAACTTGTCTTACTTCTTGCTTTCTAAATGGTTGATCTCTTTTAACTATTTCCACTTTTCATAAGGCAAAGAACAATAGGTTTGTAAGTATTCAAGGTAAAGACTAAAGATAGTCAGAGGAACAAAGAGAAAAGTGGCTACATGTGAACTGAAAAATAGTACTTGTGTCTTAACTTTCAACCAACAAAGTTATCATCTTCAATCATAATGCTCTTCAAATTATTGGAGTTTTCCAAACTTAATATTCTCTTGAGATTTAAAGCTAGTGAGAAAGTGCATTTTAAAAGGGTTGATAAGCCATCCCATTAAGAAGTTACATCCAGACACATCCTTTTAAACTTTTTGGTTGGTTTGTAATCAATGGAATTGGTGGGGGTCACTTGGGTTTTGGTGGATAGCTAAAAGAGCTTCACTCCTAGAATTTCATCACCAAATTAAGATTCACTTCCTATCGCACTCGATCTCTTGTTTTTGGCTGATTCCAATCAAAATTACTTTATAACTTTCAGATCTTACAACATATTTGATAGTAAATGGAAAACTCGAAGGGTAAGGGATTGACGGGCCCCATGATACATTGCCACCACCTTATCTCTTCTAAAGCTTTTTTTTTAATGGTTAGCAATCAAACAATGGTTGTCTACAAAGAACAGGGCCTTTGTTCTTCAAAAGGAAAATGGAGTTGAGGGATCTCATAAAAAATTTAAGTTGATCACTGTTCTAAAAAAATTCAGTTTATGAATTTACAAGTTGCACGGGTTCGAACTTGAAATCTCATGCTCTAACAGGATCGCATCCTTTTTGTTTGTGACTTCTGAAAGCAAACCTTTGTAAGAGTTCTGTGTTTGGTTGTGAATTAAGCTGGAATCTGCAGTTGAATGTGGAAATAAATAGTGGGAAGTGCTTTTATATACCACACTTGGACAGAAGTGGTATGGGGGTGCTGCTGATGAAAACTAAGACAGGCTATGAGCTGTGCTCAAATTGGAGCTTCCAGTTTTGTTACCTTATTTAGTAGTTGGTGTGGTTTGATTTTGGGGCAGCAGCCACCCATCAGAATTTCAACCATTCTTCTGCCTCTGAGGTGCTTTAGGAAACCCCAAACTGAAGATTTTCTGATTGAAAAGTGCAGCTCTTTATGGTGTGAACATTCCACCAAAGTAAACAAATTATAACTTTAGTTTTGTGACAACAGATTTAATAAGTGCAGGATGCCTTGGAAAGGCCACAAAAGGTGTCATTCCAGACCCAATGAGTTTCAAATAAATGTACATTTCTCTCAGCTCAAGTTTTCCAATTGTTCCCTGCCTCCCCCTTCATCACTTTCTTAAGCATCTTGATAAAAAAGAGACTACACTACTGTGACTTTAGGAATGCTATCTTAAAAGGCCTATAATTTACTCTTTTTCTATCCAAGACCCACCATTATTTTCTGAAACAGAATCTCCCGCCCCCTAATCTTTCACTCTCAGCACCTACTGCTTGGCGCCTAAAGTATTGAATAAGCACGCCCAGTTACTTTTCCCTTGTAGTGGAAACAAATAAACGAGTATTCTCCACTTGTTTTGGTTGAAAACGAAATGAAATGAGGCAGCGGCTACATCTGCAAAGTCAAATGACCAATGCAAATGAGGCAGGTTCATTTCTTTGCAAGTCTCCTTCTGCAAAATTTGAGACGTTCGAAGAGTGCCTAAAACAATGATTTCTAATGCCACGAAACATGTATAGGCGAAAATCTCACATGTAACCTAGTCAAGGACTAGTACGTGACCAATTATTGTGAGAAGAGGGTTGTTTATTGAACTTGAGCAATGAGCACACCATTTTATTATGTCTAGTACAAACTTGCAATTTGAGGGCTACAATAAACTTCAACTTCTTCAAGGGTTGCTCTAGACTCATCACCAAAAAGTGACTCCTTCCCATCTTCCCTCTTTGCATATGACAATCCTAATCTAGATTTGGCTTGCCTTAAATCACCAATACCCGAATTAGTATCCGGACCTGCAAACGCCCCCATAACCGGCGCTAGAGGTGGCCCGATAAGCAGACCATCAGCCCCAAATTGTGGCCCGCCCCGAGCATAATCGAAAAGGGCTGCCCCACTACCTCCTACTTTGGGTAGAACAATTGGGTCAGCTATTTCATTATCCGTCCAGTAGAAGAGGAATGCATCAAAAGTGTCATAGTAATCATCTGTGCTTCTGTAGCCTTCAGGGTTGAATGCCCCAAACTTGAAGGACTTGTTTGTGTAGCCAATTATGGCGCATGGCCCCTTGAAGTCACAGCAGTTGTGGAAATTAGCTGCACTAAATCCATCAATGGTAGCCTTATAGCAACACTTCAGTTCCCTACCTGCTCAAAATCATTTCAAGTCTTAAAGCGTAAGGACCCTATGATTGGATCTGTTTTCATATTTTATGCCCTCTCATAATGATATGTGAACCAAAAGAAATCAAAAACAACAAACCCACCATTATGTTTGTATTGAATATTTTTGGGGAGAGACATGTGACTGCTAGAGCCATTATGCATTAGAGATGCACAAGAATTATGGGTTTTGATTAATGATTAGTGATGCGTGTGAAATGCAATTGGGGGAGAGAGAGAGAGAGAGAGAGAGAGAGAGAGAGAGATATGAGAGAGTAAATATACCACTTAAGAAAGTTTTGCCAAGCAGAGAAGGAGAGAATGGAAGATCAGTTTCATGGTACTTGTTGGTCTGTGGCAATTCATCCTGTTTTCTCTTGCCTATGTTCCACCCAAACAAGCTACATGGGCTGCTTCTTCTCTTCCACCCATAACATACAGTGTGGTTTGAGAAGCAAGAAGCCATGCTCAAATGAAATGGCTAATTACTAATCCACACCCAACAAACACTCTCTCATTCACTGACATCCTCACAAATATTGGCAAGAGCTCAAGTATCTTATCCTCATATTTTCTCTACCCCAGAATTGACATTTGTCAACTATTGGTTTAATTTTTTTAGAGTCAACTGGTTTTTGTTTTTTTATTTTCGACAAATCATCATACTTATATGTTGTAACCCAGTTTGGCTATATCATTATTGTGCATCATATTCAAGCTCATCCAGAATTATAATTTATGTAAATCGAATTGTAAATAAAAATAGTTATTAAAATTCTTTATGGGCCTATTGAAGCCCATGAAGCACAGAAGCAAAACCCATATTTATGGTTAGTTTGTTCAATTGTACAACAAATGGGTCCATAGCTCAGTGGTAGAGCATTTGACTGCAGATCAAGAGGTCACCGGTTCGAACCCGGTTGGGCCCTTAAAAACCTCCTTTTTTTATGCTTAATTCTTCCAAGTCATTTAGCTGCACCAGATTTTAAACTGAATAATTGAAGTGCAAATTATTTTTTACAATAACCACAACAGAACCTGGAAGATGAATAATCTGATCAAAACAATAACATTGATGCCTTTGGTTTCAATTATTTGAACTAGATTATTATTTTCTGGTATGAAGTTATGAATGAACATTTGTCTGTAAAAAAGACAGGTAAAAATATGTCAAATAGTTTCATTTAACAATAAGCCAGCCACTGCCAATAAACAAGACATAGCAAAATACTTTTACATCTTTTATTATCAATCAGCCCCATGAGAAGGCAGTTGATTTTGAGCAGGATTCACTGGTGGCTTCTCACAAGTCACAACAATATCCTCAACTCCATGTTGATACTCTTTGAAGCATGCAATCCTTCCCAGTTCTTCAACTTCAGTAATAACATTGTCAAGCTTTGCCACAGTCTCCACCAGCAAGGAAGCAAAAGCTGCAAAAGGAAGTGCTTCTGAGAACTCAAGGCCAGTGATGGCAATTTTGCTCAGCTGGGGCCTCAAGAATTTCCTCTCCGGCTCCTTTGACTGCTCGGTTGTCCTCTTGTTTTTCCAGTCGAGCAATGCTGAGCTGTCGGTTTTCACACTCGATAGCGAGACTCCTTGCTTTTGGGTGGCGTGAGCAGCTGCCAGAGCAAGCATGTTGGTGGCCTGGTTGCTGTTGGCGCCTAGGAACAGTCTTGGTTGTGATTTGATGGCAGTGTTAAGGTCTTGCAAAGCTTCATGGAGATGATCGGAGAGTATCTCGGGGGAGCAATGGCGACGGTTTCTTATACTGCTGGCAAGTTCCCTTAGCCCTTTCGATACTTCTCCCGCAAGTCGAATGCAGGGGTCCTTGAATAGACCTCTAACAGATCTTGGTGTCTGCAAGAGAAATTCCCAAAAAAAGAAAAAACCTCATCAATAATTAAGAAAAACACGGCAAAAATGAGATTCCCTTTTTGGCTGAAGCATGTGAAACTATTTTCCAAATCTGTGATCTGTCATAACAAGAAGCATGTGACAGATTTTCTTATTCAGTATGAACTAATTATGAGGTTCTCTGGCTCATAATCATAATTCATAACCATCATCATCCTTTAGAATTTTGTCTTTTTCGTTGTCTCTTGGAATGAATATATTACGTATCATATGTATTGTTAGAAATTTTTTTTGGGGCATGCATACCATATTGTCTGTTTTAGCTGAATAGATCCATTCAAGTTTTACCTGAATTTCGGTTTGTATACATCCATGTAGAGCAACAACTGTGTAGCCAAAATGGCGAAGAACGTTTCCCAACTTCACGTAGCGCTGCCATGGAAATCTGTAGCAGTGTCTTGAGTGCCTTGGTTCCCAACTTGCATGTAGCGCCTGCTCATATTGCAACAACAAAAACATTCAAGAGGCAGAGAAAGACTCGGTGTCTATCCATGACATCAAATTTAATAAATAAATTAAACCAAAAGGATTTCAAAGGACCTACCATTGTTTCGTCCATAGATTTTGAGTCCAAAACAGCCTTATAACCGTCATATATGGGATCCTCCGTCGATTGGTCTCCAGATACTTCTTTTTCTGCATCGCTGAAGTATTCGTTGACACAAGCTGCAAAATCAGAAGCTACTCATTACTTGTATCATTGGCATAATCATATTAATTTGAGAAGTTATTTAGATTAGGATTAGAAGGTAAAGGCATAATAATAAGCAGCTTTGCATACCTTCAATAGCTCTAGCTAGGCCTTCAAGCTTGAACACTGTAGAATTATGGAGCTCTTCTCCTGACCAATTTGGAAATACCAGTAGACTCATTAACAGGCAGACACCACAACCTATGGCAATGGTGTAGAAGCGCTCATGTGCAATCTTCAGGACATTGTCGACGCGGTAGCTTGACACGGTTATCAGGTTGAAGGTCAAGAGAAATATCACAATTCCATAGTCATAGTTCCTCCTAATATAAGGAAAGAACCTCATGTATGTAGCTGCAGATCCTGCCAAATAAAAAAAACAAAAATAAAAACAAAAGGAAAAGATATCCAAATATTAAACTAGTGATTTTTTTTTCCTCTAATTTCAGAGGGAATACATAATAGCATAAGGAACTGAAAATTTAACAAATGAGTAAAATTTAGATTGAAAAATTATGCTAAAAGAACTACTTTAGATGACCATAAACGCCAAGGTCCACTTGGAAATCTTGGTCTTTTTTAGCTCTCTAGAAAATGTCTAAACGTTGCTTAGCTAATAAAGACGAGCTTACCTATCAGAAAAACTGCAGCTCCGATGAAAACTGCTCGAGAAGTCCGACCAGATTTAGTTGCAACATACTCAATGAAAAATGCCAATGATCCAGCTATCAGTGTTCCCAATCCTCTGTTGAGTCCTTTGCATAAAGTTGCCCCTATTTTCAAAGAGCAACCAAAACATTAGACACATATATACTTTTGTTCATCACATATGTATCTTAATTAAAACAAGCATAGGCTAATTTGTACCTGACAGCTCTAAGTCTAATAACTAAGATTCAAAAAAAGTTGAGCAAACTAATAACCTGCAGTGAACTCTAGCACAACAACCACAGTCATGACAGCCCAAATGGCATTCTGGCCAATCCCAACAAACAGCGGCTGTATCAGGTATAACAAGGAGACCAGTGTCAAAGACAAGCCAACTTTCAAAGCATGGATCACCCTTCTCGGGTCCTCTCGTCCCACCTTCCACACTGTCTCCCAAACCAAACCCGGAAATCGCCTCATCTTATCAACAAGAATTCGCAAACTCTTTTCTGCATTCCCTTTACTTTTGCCAGAATTTGTGTCATCCATTTCCATGCCTGCATGAACTTTGGGAAACATATAGGAAAACCCCCCAAAAATTTAGAGGACACACAAACTGAAAATGGTGGAGGGAATTGTTGTGGAGAAATTGGTATTTCTAACGCAATACAGTGATCAGATGATTCTGATAACTATATTTTGATACACACATACATACATACATATGTATATGTGCATATGTGTGTGTGTATGTATAATTAAGCAGTACAGGAACAAGACCATGCAGCCATAATTTGGGAAGTATTAAAACAATGGCAAGTATATGCTTTGGCTGGCTGGCTGGCTGGCTGGCTGGGAGTCTTTGTTGTACTATGCAGAGAACCCCAACTTTCTCTGATACAGCTTAGCGTTACTTTATATAGGGTGTGAAAGTGAGATTGGTGACTCTTGCTACATTTCACATGCCTATCACAAAAGTGTGCTCATATTAATTGTGGGTTGCTTTCACAGATGGTAAGAGTCAATACACAATAGAAAACTGATTTCCTCACTAAGACTCAACCCTGATTAGAGGTTCCTATAATTCACACTTTTTTTTTCTTTTATACGGGAGAAATTGAGGGAGGGGCAAATCGAAGTGCAGGAATAATGCTCTTAATCACTTGAGCTACAAGCCCCTTGCCATCTTCACTCTTTTTCGTTGCATAAGCAAAAAGAAAAATCATTTCAACTTTTTGGGCATAGGGTTTCACTGACTGACACATTTACCACTCAACAAAGTCTAAAATTTGTATTGAGAATATACCTTCTTAGATCTCAAACACTTAAACCAATATCTCAACTATCAAATTATAATCTCATACTCATATAAATTAAGATTAATAAGATTAATCTTGAACTTTTTCTCTGCATAAGGATGTCATCCAAATGAAACCCCAAAATTGTTTAGCAGAATCTAAACTTGTTTATTAATTATCTGCATCTGCTTAATTAGCAAAGAAAACAAGTATCAAAACTAAAGTTAATTACTGTCTTCATCAAAACAAGGGGTGGTAGTACAAGATCTGATGTACCATACCGATTGTTTGTGCAAAAATCCTCTCGGGAGAATATTCGCGTGTGGATTCTTCCGATGTTGAAATTTTGAGTTTGGTCAACGGTGAAGCGTTGACGAGTGACACAAGGTTGGTGTGGAAAAGAAATAATGCACGTAGCATTAAAAAGTGCAGCTAGCAGCAGTCTTCAGGCTCACGGGTAACAAGTTATCACACAGCCAAGACTTGCCAGAAAAGAAAAGGAAGGAAAGGTAAGCTTATTGTTAAACCTAACATTATGATTTTCTTGAACCACTTTGTTGCATGTAGGCATAGAGAGGCATAGAGAGGCATAGCTGTTGTTCTCAAACAGCTGTGTGTGTTTGATTTTTTGGGTTTTGGAAACATCTCTCGTGCATTCTCAACTTCTCAATGTGAAGCTTAGGTTTCACCACTTGGCATCTTCTAGCTCCTTCTCCTCCATCTGACCTGCTTCATGCCACCGGCCTAGGAGGGCTTGTGGCTGATTTTTATTTTCTCCCTCTGTAATTTATATTTGCTTAGTTTGTATTAATAATGAGGTAAGAAACTGAGCAAGCAGTACAATTTGCACCACATATTGTAGCAAAAAGAAGCAGAACGGCTAAGAAATCTGTTGAAAAAGATTCCAACTTGGCCTAAGCCAGTGCCTCCTATTATTCGTTGTGATAGTGAAGCAATACTATTCAAGGGAATTGATCTGACTGAACATCTCTTTTGATCACTTATTAATTCCCCCATTGCTTTCTAGAAAACAAAGTCATCGGAAACTAATTTCTAAGGAGCATTGTTCCTAGTTAGTCTTGAACGTTGTTGTTTATCTATTTGGTGTGCTTGAGGCAAATAAAGTCTGAAAGAAAGCATTTCTATAACGTTTCTTGAAACGTTAAGGGTTTCTTGAAACGTTACTTTCTTCATAGACGCATATATCCAACACTTCCTGTATTGATGATATGTTTGTATTTTCATATAATATTATCAAAAATGACACCATCAAATTAAAAAAAAACCTCGCCTCAAAGAAAAGCTTTAAATTAGAGATGACAAATTTGGACACAAAACAATAACACAAAAAGGACACAAACTAATCGCACTCATGCCATAACCTTAAAATGCCACTAATTAACATGTTTAACAATCATATCGTGCTGTGTTAATTAGTTGTGACATCAATGTACGTACCCCATTCTCGCCAGGATTCGCGAGTATCACCACAACTTCAATCAATGCACCTAGAATTGGACATGCCGGTCTGGAAACCAAGCTGCAGATCATTTGGCAGCTGCCGCACTATGGAGGTCGAGCCTGGAAGTCTAGATATCCAGACCCCCCACCTCACTTGTGCACGTTCTCTACAACAACGGACGTCTCCCTTGCCCTCCAACGAGTGCCTAATGTTGTGTGCCGGTCTAGATGGCTCTAACTCCTCTGAGTGTCTTGTCGTGTCTCACCCAGTGATTGGTTGTCTGGACGCGGTTCTTGTGTTATGTTAGATGTTTTATTGTTGGTTTCCTTTGTAATGTTGTGTTTTAGTAAAAATTAGTTAAAACTTCAACGTTGTTAGCTTATGTACAAGCTAATAAACGAATTAATCGTGTGAACCTAGAGGTAACAGAACTGGACTTATGTGTGTCATCTCATGTTACATGTGTAATAAAAATTCCATGTGCGGCGGTGCAAATTAGTTGACAAGATATATAGTAATTGAATCGTGTTCATGTTAATTCTGGTTGTGTAACCGTGTTAAAGTATTGTCGACACAATGCGTGAACACAAATTGTTATCCCTACTTTAAATTAATAACGCTTGACAATCCTCTTAGAAAAAATATATCAAACCAAACCAAACCCATTCCAAATTTCAAGATCTTGGTTCAAAATAGAGAGAGAAATCTCTATTGCCAAATTCTGAGGCACCTTATGATTTGCTGCGTGCAATATTCATTCACCTTGAGATATGATAATTATTATATGGGCAATGTATTTAGGGCAATTGATTTTTCATGAATCACCACCTAGATTTGCATTAATTCTCAATGCAAGCACTCGGATACTCTCATTACCAAATAATGGCATGCAGAAAAGATTTCTATAGATCCTCATATCCACTATGATTCTCATATTGCATGCCAAGGAACAATGGAAATGCACAAACATCTCAAACCCTACATATAGAAGATCAATAAGTAGCATGAAATTGGAGCCATATCTTTGTCTTCTGTGCTAGCTTTTGGACAACAATTTCTCAACCCTTCCAGTGAATAATTATAAACTTTTCATCCAGAAAACCACCATCAATATATATTAGAGATTTCATTATGGAAGGTAATTACAAATCTTCTAGCTTCTTTTATAGTAATTCCATATGTCGCTTGTTTAGTTCTTTACCTTTGATCAAGATGCTAGGGTTTTTACTAACATTTGTTTCTCTACGTGTGGTTGCTTTACCTATTTTACTACTTTACTAACATTTGTTTCAAGGTTCGAATAACTCTATATCTTTTATTTTCATTTCTTACAAAATCTGCTTGGAATGATTTGAATCAAAGACCTTGTACCATTAACTCATTTCTTAGCTCCTTATGCATGCGTAAAAAGTAATTTTTTCCTTACGAGCTGAGGCTGGCAAATCACAATTTGACACATGCTGCTAATTTTTCCATGACAAGTCATTCTCATGTATAAATAGAAAGGTGTCGAGCTGTGATTTGCCTACCATACATCATACATCTTCACCAAGTTGTTTTCTTTCTCTCTTTTTAGAGAAGTCCAAGTTGTTAATGCAATGCATGCTTTGTTTATATAATTTGGGTTTTTACGTCTAAAAAATAATGATGTAAATTCATTATAGATGCTTCTTGTTTTCAACATTTCAGATAAGAGAGATGCAGGAGATATTGATGCAAGGCAAAAGGTGCTTGTTGGTTTAGTGCCGCTGCTCTTTGTCATCTTCATGTTTGCGTATTATGTGCATAACCATAGAAAACGAAGCCAGCAGGACGGTTAGACATTGGAGAGTATTTAGTTCCCAATTCCTCTCAACATGGCATTGTAGCAAGTCATAATTTTTTGTTGCTAATTAGGGCACTTCCATGATTTTTTTTGTTTGCCTACCATACATTATGGAGAAGATGTACGGTAAGGAAACACATTGTGGGGCAATGGTGAAAAAAATCCAGCATTAAACAAACAATCAAAAAATTGAGAGAAAAAAACAAGTCACACACCATTATACACTTGTAATCAGCACATCTCCATGGAGGAAATAGGAACAGAAAAACTCAGATAGCTCATATCTAGTTTCACTGTTTCAAATTTCCAGACTATATGCTACTGCCCTATAACATGCTCCAAAAAAAAATCAGCACCATTTTACAGCAATCATAACAATCAATTATTTCCTCGTTGAGCTGCAAATGTATGTTACTATATAAAAAGCATTAGCCGATTTTGCTAATGAAACAGGGACGGAAACAACCGAGAAACAGATGTTCTTGTCACTCCAAATTGTAAAAACACAAGCTGGAAAAAAGGCTTTCTTTTTATATTAGCACATATCTATTTTGCTGATGTGCTCAGCATGTAGCCTGAATGACCAAGGAAATAAGAACTGTATATTATTTGGTATACCTGAAATAGTCATACTCAGGAAGACAGAATCTTTCTCTGGGAGAACTAAGAACTTGCACCAAAAACACGAATCCTATGTTCAATGGGAGCCCGGCAACATGGGCAGGTGGCTTTACCTTTTTTCCCATAATCATCATTGCAATTGGCACAAAGAACTTGATGCGCACATGGCAGGAAAACAACAGAGACTTCGTCTTTCATACAAATTATGCATTCCCTATCACAGCTGACTTCTTTCTCTGATGAATTCTCCAGGTTATCTAATTCACGAAGCAGCTTAGCAATAGTTTCTCCTTGGGGTTTTGCACCCTCAGAAATTGCTTTTGGCAAAGCATTTGATGGATGAAGCAATTCGGTAGACTGGGCAGATATTTTTAGGCGTGAGAGTTCCTGCTCAAGTCTTTGGAGGTCATCCTTGTGACGCTGGAAATCTATTTCTATCTTTAGGCGCAGAGCCTCAAGCTTTCGTTTATTACTAGCCTCAGCTGCTTCCTTAGCATGTCGTTCCTCTTCCACTTGTGCTAAGGCTTCCTCCTTAGCCTTCAGCTCCTGCCCCCATTTCACCTGTAACAAGAAAATAGCTCAGCAGAATTGGTGCACTGGTATGGGATATGTAGAATCCAAAGATCAATAAATATTAATATGAAACTCCAAAGCACATTATGGAAGCACATCAATGGAGAGTGATTTTTTACCACCAACCAAAATGCTCAATAAAAAAAAAAAAAAAAAAAAAAAAAAAAGCCGTTGGCAACCCAGCCAAGGAGTGCTGCTGCCATTGAAAGTTGACCCAAAAAAACAGGTGGGCTTTGGTTTAGATATTTTGAGAGCAGTGATGGATTATGTGAGCACTTCAGTGATTGGTACTTTTAATCTTATCATATAAATTTTGTAGAACAAAAAAAGTGAAAGGGAGGAAGAATAGAGGGAATCCTAAAGGCGAGAGAGTGAGAGAGTGACAACAGTCTGAAACCCTATGACAATTATGACTCTTTTACATGGCAATCCCAAAATGATTAAGTAAAAAAACACCTTACAATTAAACCCTGATAATTAATACCTAAACTATAATAAGCAAAAGCTAAATATCTTAAATTCTAAACTTCATAAAAATAATGATTAAATCAACCTAATTTCTAGGTTTGGGCTTATGGCCAAAATAAAAATTGTTTTAACTTGCATCCTTCACTGGAGGGTTTGGTAACACATTCCATATAGAAGTGGGTTGTTCTAATTTGAACCCCCCAAATTCCTCAATTGATTCACTCACTTATTTGTAAATTTATAAACCCATTGAATAAAAAGAAAAATAAATCAAAGATAAAATTTGGGGGAAAAAGACCTTTCATCCTCTTCACACCCCCATCCAAGAGGTGCTAGAATCTAGCATCTAAGGTTTTTACTAAGTTTAAAAAATTAAAAGACAAACTTTGGAATAGAAAAAAAGGATTTCTAATCTGTCCCTTGCGCAAACCCTCTCGCTACTAATTTCACCAACCAGTTTACTCCATTCAAAATGTAAGGAAAACTTTACCTAACAACAAAGCGAAAACTTCAAGAAAAATGGATGTGAGTCCCAATTTGGTGGCTACACTCCCTATAAATAACAGGATAAACAACATAGCAAATGTACCAACTTCATCAATGTCAATATTGACATGGTGATTGTTGCAGTTAGCCATATTTATACGGCTACACAAAATAGCTACAGCAAAACCGAACAGAACTTTAGAACGATTAGAAAAAACCATATACATATTCATACATAATTGCCACCAAAAAAGAAGTACCCATGTAAACATGAGTACACAAACAGAACAAAAAATAAAATAAAATTTATTGGTAAGCAACCCTTAGTCACCATCTCAGCCTTTAACACTAAAATTCAACTTCAAAACCCATCAAAATCCCCACCAAAACAACAAATCCACCCATCACCTTGAAAACTGCAGGCCCTTTAACCCAAAATATAAAGCCTACCCCTAAAACTCCCGAACTAGGGAGAGAAACAGAAGCTGAGTTGTTTAATAAAGCAATGCTGATGCCAACAAAAGTCTAAAGACTATACTCACACAACTGAAAATATCACAAAGTTTCAGTCAACAACTTAAGCTGACCAAGGATGGGAAGCTAATTTTGCCTGAGAAATTACCAGCGTAAAACTATATTTTCAATTACCAAAAAAAATTGAGGGGGTCAAGTTAGCAAATTTGGGGTTCAAACAGAACCACCTTTTGGTTTATCATTTATGATACACAGAAATAGGCAGCTAAATATGATGACTAGTTTCTTTGTCCGCATTTGCAATGTTTCAGATACAATTGTAAAAAGTATGATATAAATACCCATTACAATATATATATATATATATAAGCTTACTAAATTTCTCAAACATGGTTAACCCATTAAGATATCCGCAATGGTTGTTCAATACTTCAATGCAATAATGTCAGCATTCTGTCATCCTTGAACTATTGAACAACCATTGCGGATGCTCTCATTAAAAGAAATGAAAGTAAAAAATTAAAAATAAAAATCCAATCAACTATCAAACCTATAGCCAACAATCACAGTTCCAGTGATACAAAAAACTGGTAAATTAGAATTTAGAAAAAATTAAAACCCCAGAACCAACCTGAAGATATTAACAGTTTTAAAGCGAAAGGAGCATCTAGCTAGGACACAGTACAGGATTTGCTATGAAAACATTTGAAGTCAAGAAAACTTTACCCAGAACCCAAGTGATATAGGACCAATTACATGATAAATGAAGTATTCCAAACTTCATGGAATTGCAACAATACACTTCAGTACTTCACAAGTGGCTTCTTAGGTGGAGAAAGATTACAAAACAGCAAGAGAAGGTTGGAAACTCCAAACTCCCCAACATATCATAAGCATATTAGAAGTACAACAGAATGAAATCAGACAGATGATAGACCAAAGAATACCAGCCTATGATCCTTGACTTCTTCATTACTCTAAACCAAACTCTAGAATCCCATGCTTTTAGATGGCAAGGAGCCTGAGCTTGCATATTGTAGTATCTAAACTATTCCTCCACTCAATGATCCCTCTTCCATTAAACTGTGAGACCTTAAGTTTTGAGTGGTTACTCAAGTGGTTGCTTCACTTAAGTTAGTTGTTCGAAACTAAACATTTAGTTCTAATCAAGGGGTTGCTTGACTTTCTATGAATCAAAAAACATGGCCCTACGTAACCAGACATATTAACATGTAAATTCAAATAACATAAACATGCACTATGTAAAGAGACACCTGAGGTGGGTATCCATGTGCAGAGATAAAATATATGAAGGTCAACAAACCTCAGCTTCTTTCTGATCATGCTTCATCCGAGCCAAATGTTGTTGCAATTCTGAAATCTTCTCTTTCTCCTCTGCAATCTCTTCCTGCAGTTTAATTTTTTGTTTCTCCCATGCCAACATCCTCTTCAGGCACTTTTTCTCCCTCTTTGCAACCTCCAAACAGGTTAAGACTGACTCTGAAGCACTCAGTTTAGAAGCCTCCATCTCTGCTCTAATTTCTGCATTCTCAGTCTCAAGCCGTCTCACAGCTGCATTTGCCCTGTCCACTTGACCACTGGCCTTTCTTAATGCATTCTCCATCTCCGATAGTCTCTTCATAGTTGAGTCCTCAAGAGTTTGTTTCCCTTTCTTCAACCTTTGAGTCTCCTCCCTTTCAAGCCTCAGCATTTTAAGCTCCGCCAGGTCATGGCTGAGCTTTGTTGCAGCTTGCATAGCCTTTTGGTGGGCCCACTCCTTCCGGTCCTTAACTTGCTTCTCAAGCTCTTCAACCTGATGAAGAAGATTTACTATCACCTCATTCTTTTGATCTTCCCCCACAAACTCTAAATTCTCATCAAGATTCAAATCACGAAACTTACTCAACACTGAGTTAACCACCTCCTGATTCTTCGAATTTCGTGTTTTCTCAGACTGCTGAACCGGAACTTCAGACCCCAGTGCAACCGGGGTATCCCCACTCGCCAAATTACTCAGGCAAGCCTGTGGTTGTGCATTTAACTGTTTTGAGTTTGCTCGAAAACCAGCTGCAAATATTGCAACATTCCTTTTCAACAATGACTTCATTGAAGGAGAAAGGTTAAACCTCTTGGGACACTCAATATCCCTTTGCAAAGTCAACTCAGCACCATAAGAGAAAAACCCATGAACAGGAAACTCTGAACCTCCCCCATTTCCAAACCCCCAACCACCATGAAACCTACAAAGAGCCGGAGCCATAACACCAACCGAATGGTTACCATTACTACCAGACTCAACACTAGTAGATATCAAACTACTATTTTCAATACTTCCTCCAGGAAGCACAGGAATTTCCATAGTACTTGCTCGACCCACATGAAGATCACTCATAAGCAAACACCACATGGCATCACCTTTAGTCAAATGTGGTCTAACTTGCTGCAACATACACACCATACCCGCAAGCGAGTACTCCTCTAACTGCCTCAAGTCAGCAAAAACGGGCTCAGCCTCATCCGACTTCCCATTACTGCTACCACAATTACTATTCAAATAAGCCAATGAGTTATGCAAAATGTTGGTCAGCACATCCATGCCACCATAGCAGTGCCCATTTCTCAATATCGCTTTAAGCGCAGCATCCTCATCATAACCCAATGCAACTAGCTTAGAAATAGCCTCATTGTACAAAAATTCTAAATTCTTCAAAAGAATTTCTTCTAATTGTTCCTCAGTGCAGTAACCCCACCCACTCTCATCGAAATTGGAGTTGGGGCTTGGGCTCGATTTAGGGTTCTGGGTGGAATCGTTGTTGGAACCCAGATGGTGATTGAATGGTTTGAGACCCGATTCGAGTATGGATTTAGAGATTGATGCTCTATCAATGTGGCAACAATAATCGAAATCGGGTTTTGCAGATCGGGGCCTACGATTTGTACGGATGTGCTTCTCTCTCACAGTGCAACCCATTGTGTGTAGTATATGTAATTATATATCTAGCTGTATCTATAAAAAAAAAAAAAAAAAAAAAAAAAAAAAAAAAAAAATAAAAAAAAAAAAAAAAAAAAACAAATTTTTAAGTTAGTTAAAAAAAAAAAAAAAAAAATAAAAAAACAGAAGGAGGGAGAGTTACAAACAAGAAAGTGCATCGAAATATATAACCAGAATGAAAATTTCAAGAAACTCACATGGAATTGGGGACGATCGGCGTCTGGCTGTTGTCACAGTTGCCGAAACTGAGAGAGAAAGCGAAGCGAGAATAGGAGGAGGGCATGCAAAACAGGAGGAGCTTTATATTTCTTTTTTCTTTTTTTTTTCTTTCTTTTTGGTTAGGTGTTGAGTGAGCTGAGCGTGTGGAACGGGAAATTTGGAAAACCGACTGCTAATGTTACTTTCTTTTTTGTTTATGGGGGCAAATTGGTAAATGCATTAACCATCCACATTTACCATGTGTATTGTATGGTAAATCACCAAAAACACACAAAAATAACTCCAATGGCAGTTCGAAACCCCAAGGGCGCTAGACATAGCAAGGAAACTTCAATATCCATCTCAAAAGACAAGAGGCGTGCTACTGCTGGTTAGGACAAGGCAAACCATCCTTGTTCAATATCCCAACTAGCAAGAAAATATGGATTGGATGATGATGCATATTGGCGTTACTTGTTGGAGTATCTGGAAATCGCGATGTGCCTTCGTTTTTTAAGGCAAAAGCATATGTCCAAGATTTACCATTGAATTAGAAAAAAAATCAATTGGCTGCTGAAACTCGGGATGCTAAAAGAGGTGATCTGATGATGTTGAGGGAGGAGATTTCTCAGGAAACTTATTATCTGTGCTGGTGCCCGCCCCCCTTTTAGTTCGTAAGTTGAATATTGATGCAACCTAGGAGAAACAATCTTTGCTGGCGGGTTCGAGGGCTGTTATTTGCCATGATGAAGGCAAATTTGTGCAAGGAGGTGGTGGAATCAGATTGTCGTCTTCTGTCGCCGAGGCTGAAGCCCATGCAAGAACATGGAGAGGTTTAATCATAGCGAAAGATGCGGGCTGCACAAAACTTAGTGTGAAGGGCAATATTCAGAAAGGTAGTTGGGATCTTTACCCTATTCTAGCTGTGCCGGGCGGGGGTGGGATGGGAGGGCTATCAAACGTTAGATTATTTAAAGGATTAAGATATTTCGAAATGCACGTAATGTAAATGCAGAAACTAAAAATCCCTACTTCGGATTGTTCGCCCTTTTTTTTAACAGATAATGTCCAAACTCCAATCCAACTACTAAATTTGTTTGGTAACGATTTTGATTTACTTATTTTTGAAAGGAAGAATTCTTGTGGGTTTTATTTGGGCAAGGCTTTCAGAGCTAAGCCAAGTATTTCTTTTCTTTTAAATATAGAAAGATATCAATTTATATATCTGATTTGAAGAATAATATACGTGTATTTTACGGGACATTCTTGGGCAGAGAATTGAGCACGCCGTTTTAGAAAACAATTTTCAGAAAATGACCTTTTAAAAAAAATAGTTTTTGGCTAAAAGTCAGCTACTATTTTGCCATATGAAACTCACAACAGCCTTCTTCTTTTTAATAAAATAAAATGCATTAGTTTATTGCACAGTTATCTTGGAAAAACAGTGTCAGTAAAGCTACCAATCGGATTTCAAGAGTAATTATATTATACTTTGAAACCTAAATTCATCATTGCACCCCTTAATTATACAATAATATTCCGACACCATACAATAATTTCTCTCTCGAATTTTAGCGTATGAAAATTCCAACTGAAGACAATTTCATAATTGTATCAACAAAAATTATCTCTAAGAGTAAGAGTTATTAACTTATTATCTGCACACATAATATAATAGGGTATGATGTTTTGTTACATTTTCTCTCTCAACCCGCTAGGCCCAAGCAAAACCACTCTACAAGTAGAAAAGTTTTTGGTCTCACTCGAATAAATATGGACAATAGGCCATTACTGTGGCACAATTTCTTCAGAGGAAAAAAATGTAAGCAAGGTTTCAAACTAGTACAGTTTTGTTCTAGGTTGAATTTCCACCACTGAAGAAAAGTTTTGAGCAAAACCAGAACCAAAATCCCTTCTTCTTCTTCTTCTTCAATGATTGAAATTTTGCATTCTCTCTCTCGGCAACATAATCTGCCATGTACTGTACAACTGCCTGGTGATCAACAAACAAGTTGAATATGAGTTTTTTACATATCAAAGTTAGACATACACAGACTAAAAACCCTAGTAGCATATATATTTTGCATTACCTGGGCACCCATTTTTATAACTTCTTTTGGTGGAACTTCCAAAGGTGTCTCTTCGGCACGAAAAACTCTCAGTTTTGACAAAAGTCTGAAGGAGTATGGTAAAGTTCTAATCTGATCATCACTGATATCCAACTCTTCAAGCATCTCAAGATTTCCGATTGATCGTGGCAAGGCTCTTAAGTCTGCAAAATTGTTTGCCAGATTCAGTTTTTTTATGCTCACTGCAAAGCACAAGTTTTCGGGTATGGATTCTATTTCGTTGAAGCTGACATCAAGCTCCTTCAGATTGTTAAGATTCCCAACAGTTGTTGGCAACCCTTTAATTCTGTTGTAGTGAAGTGTAAGAACCTCTAAGCTTTCGAGCTTTCCAATTGCCTCTGGCAGAGCTCTTAGCTGATTGAAATCCAAATGTAGCTCCACAAGTGATGTGCAGGATCCAATCGTGTAAGGCAATTCCTCAAGCTCATTTGTTTCAGCATTCAATATCTTCAAACTGGCCAATTTCCCAATTACATCAGGCAAATGGGTGAACTGATTTGAACTCAAATCAAGGGTAATGAGGTTAATCAAGTTCCCAAATGAAGCTGGCAGAGACTTCAACAGGTTTGCATGGAGATCAAGATCAGTGAGATTGCTCAACTCACCAAATGACTCTGGAAGGTTTATAAGCTGGTTTGAGTGAATGTCAAGCTTTGTTAAGGCTTTAAGGCCACCCATCGTTGGCGGAAGGGCCATGATCCGGTTTTCAGAAAAGTCCAGTTCAGTGACTTCTGATAATTTCCCAAGCGATACAGGAAGCCACTCCACTTTATCTTCCAACTTCCCTTTAAGATCAAGAACTACAGCACCACTTTTAGCAGTGTTTTCAATGACAGCTGCCACCTTCATTAGACTCATTTTCTCAGAGTCCACTGCACCTATAACAATATCAAAACATTGAAGAAATTTTCAGCTAGCCATAAAACCCATCTCCTTTTTTTAAGATATACAACTTTTTGCCCTTACAATCTATACAAATATCTACGCAACCATAATATGATAGTTGAACAAGAAAACAAAATGAAGAACAGAAAACATAGCTCATAAAAACATTCAATAGTTCTCATAGGATGGAGACTTTGAAGACAGAACAAGAAAAGAATATATAAGACCTTTTATTTATTTATTTATTTATTTATTTATTTATTTATTGAGGTTCATCAAAACATGAACATCGTATTGATTCCAAGGTTTTATACCCTCACGAATAAAATTTCAACATTCTTCTTCTCCAGGTGATAGCGGATAAAGATTTAGGAAATGAAAAAAAGTCATCATTCCGCACAGGAAAAAAAAAAAAAAAAAAAAAAAAAAAAAAAAACAAAGAAAAAAAAAAAAACCTAAGTACCTCCTACCTCCAAAGTACTCATCCAAATAAACAACAAAATCACAACACTCCAATCATCGATATTATATTAATAAATAAATAAAACATATTTTTTTTTTATAATTTTCATGCTTTTCAATTCTTCAAATTAAATTGAATTTTTTTTATGCTAACCTGAAGACAAAGTGGAAGCACTTCTCACCACACCCTTAAACCCATCTCTCTCTGATTCCTTATCTTCCTTCTTCATCGTCAAACTTTCATCACTGATCACAGTTTCTCTCCCAATTTTCTCACTGGGTTCTCTGAATTAACATGTTTTTGAACCTGAGTATCACCAGAAACCAACCCAGAAACTGTCTGGATAAGATCATCAAAGGTCTGAAACAAACCCTCCATCTCAACCACATGAGCATCCTCTTTCCTCTGGTCCGGCTCTGAAACAAAACCATGGTTTTTCTTCACCTCCTGCAACACAGAGAAGAGCTCTTCAGGGACATTTTCGGGCTTCCCTTGCTTTGATATCTCCTCAAGCTCTTTTCCTCCTCACTGTTGACTGTTTTGAGCACAGACTGGCTGCTTCAACCTCTTCAAGGAGGGTCTTGGTGGCAGGGACTTGTAGAGTTTCATTATTTCTTCTACTGTTTCTACACAGGCAGAGGATGGTGGAGGGTCTTCTTGCTTGCGCTCCACACCCATGGCTTTGGCGCTGTGGAGAGAGTTTGGAGAGTGCCAAGCAAGAAAAGGCTAGTTGGGAATTTTGAATTTCTTTTTGATTCTATGGGCTGCTAATCCTCCCTATTATATAAAACAGGGGAACCATTTTCTTGTACCCTCTTTCTCCTATTGTCTTTTCCTCTCTTTTTTTCCTTTTCTTAATGTAATATAATTTTCATTATTTTCTTTTTCTTTTTCAAAGATATGTTGGTTTTAGTAAGGTTTTAACTTTCCAAAACATTACTTCAACTTCTCGGATTATTATTGATCAAAACAAACCTTTTTTAAATTCAAAATAATTATTAAGATGACTTTTTTTTTCCTTTTCTTTTTCTACAACAAAGCGGTGAAACGCATCTAGAACCTAGAGATTTTTCAGTGTAACCATAACACTGTCACGTGAAGTTACCAATCCTTCCACCATGTTTTTTTAATAAACTATTCATGCTTGTTGTAGTACATGTTTTATTTATTAATAGTATACTACAAAATACAAATACGTTATTCACTCATATTATAACATGTGAATTTGTAATATCACGTAATGATGTGACTATCGCAAATCAAATCTAAATTGAGTATAGCGGATAAATGCTATACCAAATTTCAACTATGATGACTTCTCCAATCTTTAATTTGCTTGAATTATATTTAAGTCACTTTTTAAAAAAGAGATAATAACAATTTCCTTTTCAAATACTTTAAAATTCAATCTTTAATTAGAATTCCATCCAAAATTCGCTGACTTTATTAATAATAAAAAAAGAGTTTCTATTAGCATGTCCCTACAAGTTCAAATTTGGACAGTAATCTTCTCTATTTAAAGAACAAGATAACAATCAATAACATTTGATCGGATATTTTTTCCTTCTCTTTCATGATAAGATGGATGGGATTTATTTGGGAAAATTTTGTCTCTTTTGCACGACTTACATGGCCTCGGTTAATTAATATAAACTGATTTTAAAAGATGGTAATTAATCAAGTTGATGATGGTGATTTCATTTGGAACGGACGCATTTGACCTTTCCAGATACATCATGCACGGGAGCCAAAAGTCTTAAACAAATGAGATACATCATACAAGGTTTCGTTCCTACCAACGTATGACTGGCTGCCCTACAATTTTTCATTGACAAAGATTCCTACTATGTCTTGTTCTTATTATAAACAAGTCAAGAACTTACATGTTTAAAAAAAAGAGTGACGAATTTGTTTAAATATATTATGTAATTGTTGGAATAAACATAATTTATAGCTATATGTTAGAAGGCGTGACAAGCCCAAATTTTTTATTTATAATAAAACTAATAAAAAACACTTCGGGCCAATGTCCGGCCTAATCTATCATCATCAATCAAAAGGACTTGTTTTTAATTTATTTGCATTATAAACTTGCTTTTGTTTGCAAGAGAAAGAGAGAGGATTGAAATTTTTTGCCTTTTCTGTTTTCTTTTCTTGCCCACAACAATAAAAAGGGTTTTATTCATCAAATAAAATATTAACATCTGTCTCTAGTGTTGGGAGGCCCTCACTATAGAATTCTTGCCCGAACATATCTCTTACATAGGCTTTTTTTAGTACTTGGACGTTCATTTTTGCTAATATTTCAAGAGCTCAAATTAATAAGGATCGAAATTTTACGGGGAGATTGTAATAAGGGGTTATAATGAAGGGGTCTTTACTAGCCGTCGGATACATTGCAAAGCCATATTGGACGGTCAGGTTGAATCCCTCACTTTTGAATATGCATACCTTGTTGTCGGTCTCCTGTGTGGGCTGTCAAAGCCTAATAAGTGAAATCTGGGCTCGGGCTGCCTGTACAGTTCAGATAAAAATGAAAAAGAGAGCTGTGCCTGAGCTCGGAGCCCAAAGGAAGTCCTATATATTTACTCTCTGTTTTTCGTTTTTGTTCTGCGTTGCCACGATTTTACTGCCCCAGCTGACCTCAAGGTAAGGATCTAAGCTTGAATGCTTTTCATCATTAATCTGAAGTTGTGTTTGATTCTGTAGTTTTTTATTGCAATTACAACTGGGTTGCTGTTTCTTTTTTCTTTATAGATATCTTTTAATACAACCCATCTGGGCAGAAGCTTTGTTCTCCGATAATGTTTCTATATAGCCGTTGACAAGTCTTTTTTGTGCCCCTTAATGTTTCTGCTGAGTAAAATTAAGTCTAGTTTTGTAGTTGTTTGAAAAGCAATGTGAAGTTTTTGTGTGTTATTTTAGCAAATCAAGCAAACTGTGTTCCTTGATTAGTTTGGCTCAGAGTTACAAAATGTATATTCTGATTGTTTAATTATCCAGTCTCCAGGCTGGGAACTAGCTCCTTAGGATTGACACCAAAATTGAAGAAGATAATGGGTGAAAGTACGAGTGTGACAAATGGGTTTTCTCAAAGCAGGATGGATCAGAAAATAAATGTCTATATATGGGACATGGATGAAACTCTTATACTGCTCAAGTCTTTGTTGAATGGAACGTATGCAGAGGCTTTCAATGGTTTGAAGAATATCCAAGAGGGTGTTGAAATCGGAAAGATGTGGGAGAAGCACATTCTTGCTTTGTGTGACGATCATTTCTTTTATGAACAAGTAAGTTTAGACCTTCAATTACAAATACAGATAGTCGTATGTATGTGTGTACGTACACTCTTTGCTGAGTTACATGGCATTTGAAATTTTGAAAATTTTGGGATTGGTGATGCAGATTGAGAACTACAATAAATCCTCTCTTGATGCCTTGAGCCAGTATGATGATGGGCGGAATCTTTCTGATTATGATTTCAACCAAGATGGGTTTGGTCCTCCATATGATGATTCCAACAATAGAAAACTGGCATATAGGCACAGATTCATAGCCCATAGATACAAACAGGTGTGCAAACACATCCTATTGTAGAAGTAGTTTTTGTTCTTTTAATTTGTCATGTTTTAAGTTTTACTTGTAAATTGGTGTATGCATGCAAAGTTTTCTTAAATTTTTTACACCCATTGAGACAGGCCTTTTGGTTTCAGGGTTGCGTTATTGAGAGTGCACTGTTCTAGCAGTGATAGTGATGCACTGGTTTCTTTGATGTACATGATCAATATGCAACATTTATCATTTTCTTATATGTTATAGAAATATAATTGGTTATAAATGCATTTAAAATTGGAAGGAACTGACCTAAAGATGTTACAAAACTCCAAAAATAGTCATGCAATGTTTTCTCTTGCTTAAAATTTGATGTAGATAGGAAGAATATATGTGTACTTTACCGTCATGCATGCAATGTTATCAAGGTAGTGCTTAGGGATGATTCTTCATCAAATAGGTGTATAGAACACAATATATGGTCTTACTCTGGTAACAATATCATTTTCTTTCAAAGATTCAAGGGACAAATAAATCACATAACTAGCATAATCCTCACTTTTTTTTTTAATCATAAGTCACCTGGGAAATTATGCTTGATGGAGACAATCCACAGAGAGCTCATGTCATTTTGGAATCCTGAACATATTATGCTTGAGGAAAGAATTATTCTTGCCATATGACTTAGCTTGATGGCTGTCTAACAGAATTTGGCTCTGCAGGGCTAGCTCCTGATGGACTAGCTACCTTGCACCTATTAATACCAATCTCAATTCCATTCTTATTAACAAATTGATGTGTTAAAAAAAGTTAAATTGAGCTTACACCATACTCATTTGACATCTGTTCTTATTATTCATTTGTATAAAGAACTAGTGTGCTTTTGTTTTCTGATTAAGTCAGCTGCATAGGCTTCTGTAAACTATTTTGGATGTTTTAATGTTAGAGCTATCTGTAGAAGAACTCAAACATTTTCTGTTATTTCAGGGTTTGCACAGTTTCCTAAATCAGAGATGATAAAAGACTTGGATGAGTTGTATGATATGACTGATAAATATACAGATAGATGGCTCTCCTCAGGTATTTGGTTTTATAATGTCCCAGCTTCTAGATTTTGGTATCTTTGCTTTTTTTCGTGATTGTTGTTCATTGGCCTATAAGCTTCTGGTTTACTGCTTTGAATACTTCCCTCTTCCTGGTGATATATTCCACAAGTCCTGGCCTTTTTTCCAGTATTCTAAATTGCAAAAATGAATAAATACTATTAACAATTAAGGGGAAGCAATCTGATGTATAAAAACTGATTCATTGTTATATTAGTAGATACTGGAAACCCATTGCTAAGCAAGCTGAGATTAATGTTTGGTGGGTTGGTGTAAGTTTTCCAACTTTGTTTCACTGAGGGTATCCTGAATCAGCATGGAAAATATTTCGAAATACTTTCTATGAATGAAAAGTTGGAACACAATCATTGAAAGGTCTATTACCAAGTCATACTAATAGTTTACACTCATTGATCCCATGTCCTATAACTTGAACTCTTTGTGGTTATTCCACTTCAAGACAGTGTGCAACAATGAAAAAATGTTTTATTTTCTCTGGGGGGTATTGAGGAGTTTGTTTTCTGTTTTTTTGTTTTTTGTTTTGAAATAAGGTTAGATTAAAATTTTGTTAGTATGTGACCCCCAAAACAATGCTTTCTCTTTTTCTGGGAAAAAAAATTAGGAAAGGCAAGGAAACGGATTATCGAGAAGATGTATCCATTAAAGAGACAAATATACAACCATGGTAGGAATGGAAGTACCAGAAAATAAGGAAGTTAGCAGAATGGTTTGCTAATTCGTACAGAATTGAGCAGTCAAACAAGAGTATTTTACACTAGTGAAAAGAATGCCCCCAAGAATGAATGGTTGTTGGCTGTGATTGAATGAACAATGCTGGAGAAATTAGTTTCTATGGGAACAGATTCAAAATCCCTGTCAACTATCAAGCAGTTAATGTGGTATGGTGGCAAGCATCTGAACCAAAGAAGAATGTCAATACTTGGAGGGTCTAGGAAAGTCAAGAGGATGATGTCACCTGTTTGGTAGGGAAATAGCACTTTTAATAACCCATCCTATGCCAATTAGACAGTAATTGATTGCTAAACTTTATAGTTGCTATTTAGCTTTGATGATTGGTGATTGGTTGAGGATACGGAAGATGGAGCTAGTGCCTGTTTTGAACAGTGTCAGAAAAAAAAAGTTTCTACCTTTAGGAATTGTCTACCATCATCATCTTTTAAACTGTAACAAACCCATGCAATGCCAGAAAATAATTGGCACACCCCTCCATCTTCCGTCTTTCGGAGACATCACCTCCTATAATAGATACTCTGCCATCACATATAAAATTGTGTTAATCTTGCTTCTCTTCACCTTAATGATGTTTGGGATGCACCCGTCAACACTTTCTGGTAATCCTAAGGAGCAGTTTGCTCTGTGTAGTGTCATAAATGCATTATGCCTCGACTTTGTTCTCTTCCATTATTAAACATTCTTCTATAGTTGCTCAAGAATTGTCTTCCTCCTGTATTAATGTAGCGCGCATCTTCTTGGAAGAGTGTTCTGCTGGGCACAAAAAGACATCTCTTGTGGCTGCTGATGGGATCAATGAATCTTCTGCTTCAAAGTATCAGCAGATTAATCTTTTAGTGACATCTGGATCATTGATCCCAGTCTTGTAAAATGCTTGCTCTTTCGACTCAACAACATGATAACAGATGAAAATGGTTAGTATCCTTATCACTTAATGTCTGCGAAGCTTGTTATTTTTCTTTCTAGATTATTTTGTCTTTAACGACACTGTAGTTAGTGTTAAGAATCAGAATTAATGTCCCCTAATGCAGTTTAAAATTATTGGAAAACTTGATTTGAAGTAGTGCATATGCAAGAAGTGGAGTCCTGATTCACTTTTATTCTATTTGTTTCATGGATTCTGGTGAACAACATATAGACCTTGTTTTATGCATTAGTGGGGCTTTTAAAAACTTATATGGGTACTGACAAATCTTTATAATTTCTTCAGTCTATAGTTCCTGGGAAGTGGGAAAACTACAATGTTTTCAGCAGATCAAGGTGCGTTTTAACCACCCAAATGTCCGCTTCTGCGTAATTGGGGTGGATGGGAGGAGTGTGAAGCTGCGCAAGCAATGCAATGGCCATTGGTTAAGATTGATATGCGACCAGGAGGCTCTCACAGGTTTCCAGGCCTCACATCCAGGACCCTCGGATTTTATTTTTCTGTTGTATATGGGAGCTCTGATGTTGAAGATGAAGAGTGAAACTCACTGGATTTGCAATGAGCTGTTCTTGGGACATCTGCCTGCACATAAAATCCAACCAATGTTAGGAATTATGTCTTGAAACAATTTGTATCAATCAACTCAGTTAGATGAAGATGACCACCAGATTAGCCAAAATTGATTGTATTTGTTCTTGTAGATTAATTGGTTGGCTTCATGCTACGAATTGTAAACTTCTGTCTCGACGTGGATATCTACACAGTTTTGGATTTGTTACCCTCAAAGTGATGCAAGATATCAACTAAACTGACAAGAAATTATCTCGTTTGTTAGAGAAGATTAGACTAGACTAGACGAGCAAAGTGGCTATATTTCATGTGCAATCAAGGCATAATATGGATATTGTTGTCTAATTTGAGGATGAAGGAGGACTATTCATAAGAGGTTGATCACTAAAATTTATCCCTCCTAATCCCATCATTTTCAAGGGGATTATGGGGATAAGTTTTAGTTATCAACTTCTTATAGATAGTCCCCATGTTTCTTCCTAGTTAAACAACATATCCATGTTATGAATTGAATGCAAATGAAATGCAGACATTTTGCTAATCTTGTACAGTTTAGTCTAAAATCCTGTGACGTTATTTGTGTTTAGAGGAACAAAAGAAGAAGAAGAAGAAACAGAGGAGAAGGGAGGAAAAGAAAATTAAAACTAAAATCCTGTGACATTTGTGACATCAGTGTTGGACAATGACAAGAATTCTCAACCAATCCCTCATTTTCTCAGCAGGAAAAATAGAGAGAAAATTCACATTGTTTCAAGCCAAATAATATGAAGACAGATTTGAGTAATGATACCATTTGCAGGTGGCGTGTGATGGTGCTGGAGGAGTTGGATATGGGGCAAGTGGACTGGCATTATAAATTAAAGCTCAAAACTCTTTCACTCTTCTCTTCTTAGATTCTAGAAGACAACTGCTCAGATACAGGGGACATCACACATTCTTTCCATACCTGGCAAGAGGAAAAGAAAAGTTAGAAAAACCCAACTGGAAGAGTGTTTTAGCTTTAAATAGAGAACTATATATAATGAGCATGATACAAGAAGCAGGATTATGCAATTGCGTGACAAATTTAAAGTGAATTGGAGGAAAATTGGAAGAAGAAAATCTCAGAAACTTGCATTACCAAAAGCCCAAAAGCTTATTTCAACTAAATTGAAAGGTGCATATATAATATATATATATATATATATATGTGCCCAAAAAGCCATACCTGAAGATGCCCAGAAAGAGAAAGTGTATGCAATAAGCTATGGAATTCATTTGAATTCCTCCCAATGTAATCAAAATAGACTATCTAAATCGCAGAGATTAAAGTGTGGAATTTGGAGATAGGAAACATTCATATTTCCTATGAATGAGGGTCGGGGGTATGAACTTAAAATTTGTCAATGAAGTTTGAGTTAAAAATGGCAATGACTTGTAGACCAGTAATCTCACACCTTCATGGCACCCTTATAGTAGTGTGTGGTGTTTGTGAGAAAACCCCATCTCCTCTTTTTTTTTCTCTTTTTTTTTAAAATTCCCTTCAAGATTGGTAAAAAAATATCACAAAATAAATAGGTAGTTGTTAATGGGGTATATCCTAGTTGATTGAGCTTCCACCTCCAACTATATGAGCAGAAATTCAAAACCCCCAAACACCTAATAAATATTGTGTAAACCTCCATCTCAATCGCTTGAACTAATAATAAATAAATAGGTAGTTTTATATATGTAAGCATGACTTAAAAGTGTGTCATCATTTTTGTTCTCTCCTCCTTATTTTTTGGGTCATAATATCTCTCCTCATTCTAGTAGTCACTTTTTCCCAAATGTCACCATCCTAATAAATGAATCGATCCATAGAATCCTCCCTCCCCTTATCCCCTATTCTCTCTTGCTCATTTTGGATTTCCCCTAGCCTTGACTATGATAAGGCTCAGAATGGTGGTTTGGGTGATGAATAGCTAAAGAATTTTAGTTTGGGGTTTAATCCAAGGGCAGCACATTGATTAAGATGTCTGCATCTGATGTGATACTGTTGCAAGTGTCGACAAAATTGATTATATATTGTTCTGATTTCTCTGTTGTTGTTGATATAACTCTTTCTTCTTCTGTTTGTTGGCTGTTGCTTCTTCAAATTATGATGCCTTGCTAAGTTAAGGGTACTCACCAATGAGCATGCTACGTACCAAGACCGTTTCATGAAGCGAATTCACATTGAAATTAATCGAATTTTGGTAATTTATCGTTTTTGTTAATAGTTTTTTTAGAGATAGAAAGAAAAATATATGGATGAAAAGAACGAAGAAAAGGCAATAGAGAAGATGAGCACAGATGAATGAGGATAATTATAAATAAATAAAACAACTTAAAATTGTTGTAGCTTGTAGTTTTTTATTTTTATTTATGTAACATTCCATACACATTTCTTCCGCCTCCCTCCCACCACCTTTCCTCACCATCTTCATCTCTCTCACACCCTTCCTCACTCATCTTCGTTCTTCTTCCCAACTCAATGGAAATAAAAAAACGGAAAAAGTTACCAAACATGCCTTCAAACATATCATTTATTGGAGTGATAATCTAACCTCATAGAATCAAATCCATTTTTTTGGCCGCCAAATGCAAACCTTATATAATCTTTGGAGGGGTTTTTGGCACGTCGGGCCCTTCATTACTGGTGGTTGGCCAAAGTGCCACAAGATTAGTTCAAGGTAGATGCCAAAAAACCCTTGATTGTCAGTCATTAGCTAATCAAGTAGTCAAGTAGTTTGTCTTCGATGAAAACCTAATTAGTGGATGGTGTTAAGACACATTTCCATACATCTTTGGTGGGTGATTATACTGTAAACAATTTTTTTGATGTCACGGTAAGGATAATTTTAATTTTGAAGCTTATCCTAAACCATTTGTGTTGGTAACAGTTCACAAAAGGCCAGCCAAGTTGGAGAAAACTTTGGAAATTTCCTGGATTTCATGCCAAATCACTAGATTAGAATCTCAATAAAGTCAAAAATTATGCGTATTGAATTCATTTTGCGATGAGGCCCGAAGCTAAACCTTTATCTACTTTTGAGGCCACCAAGAAATTGGATTGGGACGGTGGGCGTGCTCTTCGGATTTTAAAAAAATGTACCTCCAACATGTTTTTCTCATGTAAAGTTGCATGCAAGTTTGATAATTACTTTACATTATTTTAGTATTGGTCAGAAAGATCAGCTTTTTCAACTTTGGTACAAAAGTACAAAGAAAGAGGCATTAAGTGGACCTTCAATGAAAATTGTAGTTCTAATTAACTAGTACCTAACCTTTTCAGAACAATGCTTGTGTTGGTGGTATTGGGGTGAGAGTGGTTTTGAAGCTGTAAGGCCATCTCCAACCTTTTGGTTTTGTTTTTATTTTGTTTAAATACTAGCTATAGTAGAATTATAAGATGATAAAAATTTCTCACACACGCAAATTATCACGGTGTCATACCTGCGTCGTTGGTATGTAAGTCAATGCTCGTTTTCATGGCTAGACCCTATTGGCAGACCATTTCCAACCTAAAAGGTCTCAAAATGAACTCAAATACAAATATTCATCAATCCAACCTAAAATGGCCGTTAGATGAGTTTAATTTTTGAAATTTGTATAGCATGTAGATTGAATCACACTCATGCAATGACAATTAGCATGGTATAATGCTCACCAACATTTAAGAGTGGTGAGCAAAATGTTCTTGACTGATATATTGCTAAAATATGAAAACCTATGAGAGAATTTTGTTTGTGGGAATTTTTCGTGTATTCTTCTCTTGTAGGAGGTCATATTTATAATACAATAAATCCTAGTAGGTCGAGAAAAAGTAATAACTCCTAATTCTATATATAGTAGGAAATCATGAATTAAGTAAATCAATACATTTGACATAGGAATTCTTGGGTGTAAGGAAAGTAAATGCGAGTACACAAGTCATGCCAACACTCCCCGTCAAGTTGGTGCACAATGTCACCAATACCCAATTGGTCCAATGAATTGTGGACACGCTCTACTAGAAATTGCCTTGTCAAAATATTCGCTAATTGATCCTCAGAATTTACTAAAGAAAACTGAATCACTTTAGCTTCAAGCTTCTATTTGATATAGTGTCAATCTACCTCAATATGTTTGGTGCTGTCATGTTGAACCGGATTATGTACAATAGCTATTGCAACCTTGTTGTCACAAAAGATATTCATTACAGATGTAGGTCCATACCCAAGTTTAGTAAGCACCTCTTTAACCAAATGAGTTCCAAATTCCTTTGGTCATACGCTGAACTCGGCTTTTGCATGAATAAGGTAACCACCTTAGTTTTCTTGCTCGTCCATGTAACCAAATTACCTCCCACGAATGTGAAATAACCGGATGTAGATTTCTATCTGTTATATTCCTGCTCAATATGCATTGTGTAACCATCAATATTAAGATGACCATGTTTGAGAACATAAGTCCTTTTCAGGTGCAGACTTTAAATATTTAGGTATTCGGATAATTGCATTCATGTGGTCTTCACTTGGAGAATGCATAAAATGATTAACCACACTCACTGCATAAGCAATGTTTGGTTGAGTTTGTGACAAATAGTTCAATCTTCCCACTAACCTTCGGTATATTTTCTTGTTAGTTGGAACCTCAAGATGATGATTCTGAACAATAGGAGTGTTACAGGTTTGCAATTGCATTCCTGTGTCTATCAAACAGTCCAAGACATATTTCCTTTGAGATAGAAATATGACTTACTTTGATCGGGCCACCTAAATTCCCCAAGAAATACTTGAGTCCACCTAGATTCTTCATTTCAAATTCAATAGCTAAATAGTATTGCAGCCGAGATATTTCATGTTCATCATTCCCAGTAATAATCATTCATCAAAATAATTATTAAACCTATTACCTTTCCTTTATGATGTTTCAAGAACAGAGTATGATCTGAATTGCTTTGCTTGAATCCATAATTCCTCATTGCCAAAGTGAATCGTCTGAACACGTGGTGACTATTTCAAACCATATAGTGTTTTTTCGCAACTTGCACACTATACTAGTCTAAGTAGATGTTGTATATCCCGGGTGAAACGTCCATGTAAACTTCTTTTGTGAGTTCACTATGCAAGAAAGCGTTTTTTTGACATCAAACTGATGGAGTGGCCAATCCAAGTTGTTGCAAGAGATAGTAGCGCTCTGACTATGTTAAGCTACAGGGGCAAAGGTTTCTTCATAATCGATGTTGTAGTTCTGTGTGTACCATTTTGCCACAAATCTGGCCTTGTATTGTTTCAATGGACCCATTAGTATTGTGTTTGACAGTAAACACTCATAGCATCCAACTGTTCTTTTTCTTGGGGGTAATATCTCCAGTGTCCATGTCTGATTTTTCTCCGGAGCCTCATTTTTCCTTCGTTGCTTGGGTCCACTTCGAATCTTTCAATGCTTTAGTCACTTAGTGGAATGGCAAATAGCAGAAAACTGATGCACAAATGCCTTCATGGTTCAGGAAGTCTTTGAGTGGACACATGATTGGCAATTGGGTACTTTGACTCTTCCAATATCAGGAGGAATACCGTTTGGTGGTCTTCCACGTTTGCCTAAAAGGTAATTGGTATCCAATAGAATCATAACTAAATTCATAGGAGTTGTAGGGATATTTACCTCAGGGATATTCTCAGGGATTTGTTGTTTGATACTGTTGAATGAGAAGGGGTCTTCCGTGTGTTCGGTTCTCTTCTTTTCAAGATCGGCTTTGCTACCCATGCTAAAATATGAAAATTATGAGAGATTATTGTTTGGGAATTTTTATATTCTTTCCGTAGAAATCATATTTATGATACAATAAATCTCTATATAGGAAGGGAAGTAATAACATAAACTTGTATTTTATAATTAAAAAATAATGAAATTAAAGTAAATAAATTATTTTATATAGAAATCCTTGGATATTAAAGAAAGTATATCAGGTCACAAAGTGCCAACTATACTCCTAGGGCTAAGTGGCAAACCAAACTTGTGAGAATGTCTTGTCAAAATTGATGCTTGAAGGCTTCTCTAGAGCCTTAATGGTAGGAAATCCACTTGGGGCTACTACATCGTTAGGGCATGTGGAGAAAAAAGCGCACAGCAAGTGAACCCCAGGTGGGCCTTCCGTCTTTTGCAAAACGTATCTATGGACCCCGCAATCGTTTTTTGTATCGTGTTCCCTCAGGCTTTTACCCCCGGGTGCAATGCCACCCTCAGGCCTTTCCTTCACCTGTTGCATTTTTGTCTCTCCCTGCCTTCGTCATATCCTTTTGACAAAATATTTTCCTCTGATGAGATTTTTTATTTAGAAAATAAAAATAGTGAATTATCAATACGCTACAAAGGACACACACAGTGCCCCCATGATGGAATAGACAGTTAGTACCTTCAAAAGGGAAACTGTGTTTAGTATCGGTTTACAATATTTAAAAACGCGGTGTATAGGCGCTAAATTTTTTTTAATTACATTTTGTGTAATGATCGACAATGCATCGATCGACCCCGCTCATACTAGCCTATCGTTGGTGTAAAAAAAAAAATAAAAAAAAGTGTACCCTCAAGTTCAGATAAAAGATAGTAATGCATCATGCTGCATGTTATGTGTAATTTATAGAATGTTAACTGAATAATTATGTAATAGTGAGCAGCAGAGTTCAGATACCTAACTTTACTATCCAAGTTCTCACACTATACTTTATATCCAAAGCTCTCATAAATTTATAATGCTATAGATTCAGGACCACACACACCTAATTAAGGTACTTGCGTTGCTTTCATGGTTTTAAAAAAAAAAAAAAAAAAAAAAAAAAAAAAAAAGGATGATGATGGACGGCGGCCGCTATCCTTTGACTGACGTGGTAATACTGATGCTAGGACGGTCCATAAAGGGAGAGCGTGTGTGGCTGAGTTGATCCTCACATCATGCAATGCAGACGCCACCGAAGAGAGAGAGAGAGTAGATAGGGTGCGGTGTGGGCCCAGACAGTTTCCTGACAAAGTTGATTTGTTACTACCACCAATACCACCACAGAAACAGAAGTTATATGTTCTTTCCCACATTTATCATTAGAAAAAAGGGACAAGAACAAGTTTCATTGCACCTCAAAAATGAACTGAGTTGGAAGAAACGTAACAAATTTGGTTTGGTTTAACACAACTTTCTCATCTACTTAAATTTACTCCAATGTATTTCAACTCTCCTCTCTCTCTCTTTCCTCTCTCTCTCTCTCTCTCTGCAAGTGGCAAAGGTATGGTTTGCTTGCCCCACGTAAGATCTCTTCAATGAATTCCATAGCTTATTGCATCCACTTCTCTTTCTGGGCGTCTTCAGGGTATGGTTTTTTGGGCAGACACACACACGCGCACACACCACACACACACATATATATATATATGTGTGCACCTTTCACTTTAGTGAAATAGCTTTGGGTTTTGATAATGCAAGTTTCTGAGATTTTTCTTCCAATTTTCCTCCAATTCACTTTAAATTTGCACTGACAAGTTGCATAATCCTGTTTCTGTATCATGCTCATTATATATAGTTCTCTATTTAAAGCTAAAACACTCTTCCAGTGTGGGTTTTCTAACTTTCTTTTCCTCTTTCCAGGTATGGAAAGAATGTGTGATGCCCTGTATGAGGCAGTTGTCTTCTAGAATCTAAGAAGAGAAAGAGTAAAAGAGTTTTGAGCTTTAATTTATAATGCCGTTCCACTTGCCCATATCCAACTCCTCCGCACCATACACACCCGGCAAATGGTTTTTTTTTTTTTTTTTTTTTTTTTTTTTTTTTTTTTTTTTTTTTTTTTTTTTTTTTTTTTTTTTTTTTTTTTTTTTTTTTTTTTTTTTTTTTTTTTTTTTTTTTTTTTTTTTTTTTTTTTTTTTTTTTTTTTTTTTTTTTTTTTTTTTTTTTTTTTTTTTTTTTTTTTTTTTTTTTTTTTTTTTTTTTTTTTTTTTTTTTTTTTTTTTTTTTTTTTTTTTTTTTTTTTTTTTTTTTTTTTTTTTTTTTTTTTTTTTTTTTTTTTTTTTTTTTTTTTTTTTTTTTTTTTTTTTTTTTTTTTTTTTTTTTTTTTTTTTTTTTTTTTTTTTTTTTTTTTTTTTTTTTTTTTTTTTTTTTTTTTTTTTTTTTTTTTTTTTTTTTTTTTTTTCCCCCTAAGAGTTTAAATTATGGAAAAATCTTGTTTGATGTAGTGCATATGCAAAGAAGTGGAGGTCTGAGGCGTAACATTTTACTTCTATTGTTTCCTGGCTCTGGTGAACAATATATAGACCTGTTTTATGCATTAGTGGGGTTTTTTCAAAAAAATTATATGGGTATGACAACTCTTTATAATTTCTCAGTCGATAGTTCTGGGAAGTGTGCAAAATACAATGTTTTCGCAGATCAAGGTGCGTTTTGAACACCCAAAGTGTCTGCGTAAATTGGGGGGGGATGATGGGAGGAGTGTGACGCTCGCCGCAATGCCATGGCCATTGGTTAAGGATTGATATAGCGAGCGCTCCACAGGTTTCCCGGCCTCACATCCAGGGACCCTCGGATTTATTGTCGGCTTGTATAGAGCTCTGATGTTGAAGATGGAAGAAGAGTGACTCACTGGATTTGCATGAGCTGTTCTTGGGGACCTGCCTGCACCTAAAATCAAAAAACCAATGTTAGGCATATGTCTTGCAACAATGTATCAATCAACTCAGTTAGATGAAGATGACCACCAGATTAGCCAAATGTGATTGTATTGTCTTGTAGATTATTGGTTGGCTTCATGTACGAATTGTAAACTTCTGTCTCGCGTGGATATTACACAGTTTGGATTTGTTACCCTCAAAGTGATGCAAGATATCAACTAAACTGACAAGAAATTATCTCGTTTGTTAGAGAAGATTAGACTAGATAGCGAGCAAAGTGGCTTTATTTCATGTGCATCAAGGCAAATATGGATATTGTTGTCTAATTGTGAGATGAAGGAGGACTTCATAAGGGTTGACACTAAAATTATCCCTCCCTAATCCCACATTTCTAAGGGGATATGGGGATAAGTTTTAGTTATCAATTTATAGATAGTCCCATGTTTCTTCCTAGTTAACAACATTCCATGTTATGAATTGAATGCAAATGAAATGTAGACTTTTGCTAATCTTGTACAGGTTAGTCTAAAATCCTGTGACGTTATTTGTGTTTAGAGGAACAAAAGAAGAAGAAGAAGAAAGGGAGAAGGAGGAAAGAAATTAAAATAAAATCTGTGCCATTCAGTGTTGGACAATGACAAGAATTCTAACCAATCCTCATTTCTCTAGCAGGAAAAAAATAGAGAGACATTTCACATTGTTTTCAAGCCAAATAATATGAAGACGATTTTGAGTAATGATACCATTTGCAGGTGGGTGGATGGTGTGGAGGAGTTGGATATGGGGCAAGTGGACTGGCATTATAAATTAAGCTCAAAAAACTTTCACTCTTTCTCTTCTTAGATTCTAGAAGACAACTGCCTCAGATACAGGGGACACACACATTCTTTCCATACCTGGCAGAGGAAAAGCAAGTTAGAAAAACCCAACTGGAAGAGTGTTTTAGCTTTAAATAGAGAACTATATATAATGAGCCTGATACAAGACAGCAGGATTATGCAAAGGCAGTGACAAATTTAAAGTGAATTGGAGGAAAATTGGAAGAAGAAAATCTAGAACTTGCATTACCAAAAGCCAAAAGCTTATTTCCACTAAATTGAAAGGTGCCTATATAATATATTATATATATATATTGTGCCCAAAAAAGCATACCTGAAGATGCCCAGAAGAGCAAGTGTATGCATAAGCTATGGAATCATTTGATCCTCCCAATGTAATCAAAATAGGACTGTCTAATCGCAGAGATTAAGTGTGGAATTTGGAGATAGGAACATTCATATTTCCTATGAATGAGGGTCGGGGTATGAACTTAAAATTTGTCAATGAAGTTTGAGTTAAAAATGGCAATGACTGTAGACAGTAATCTCACACCTTCATGGAACCCTTAGTAGTGTGTGGTGTTTGGAGAAAACCCCATCTCCCTCTTTTTTTTCTTTTTTTTTTTAAATTCCTTTCAAGATTGGAAAAAAAAACAAAACAAAATAAATAGTAGTTGTTAATGGATATATCTAGTTGATTTGAGAATTCCACCTCCAACTATATGAGCAGAAATTCAAAACCCCCAAACACCTAATAAATATTTGTGTAAACCTCCATCTCAATCGCTTGAACTAATAAATAAATAAATAGGGTAGTTTTATATATGTAAGCATGACTTAAAAGTGTGTCCATCATTTTTGTTTCTCTCCTCCTATTTTTTGGGTCATAATATCTCTCCTCATTCTGTAGTACTTTTTTCCCAAATGTCACCATCCTAATAAATGAATCGATCCTAGAATCCTCCCTCCCCTTATCCCCTATTCTCTCTTGCTCATTTGGATTTCCCCTAGCCTGACTATGATAAGGCTCAGAATGGTGGTTTGGGTGATGAATAGCTAAGAATTTTAGTTTGGGGTTTAATCCAAGGGCAGCACATTGATTAAGATGTCTGCATCTGATGTGATACTGTTGCAAGTGTCGACAAATTGATTATATATTGTTCTGATTTCTCTGTGTTGTTGTGATATATAACTCTTTCTTCTTCTTGTTTGTTGGCTGTTGCTTTCTCAAATATGATGCCTTGCTAAGTTAAGGGTACTCACCAATGAGCATGCTACGTACCAAGACCGTTTCATGAAGCGAATTCACATTGAAATTAATCGAATTTTGGTAATTTATCGTTTTTGTTATAGGTTTTTTTAGAGATAGAAAGAAAATATATGGATGAAAAAAACGAAGAAAAGGCCATAGAGAAGATGAAGCACAGATGAATGAGGATAATATAAATAAATAAAACAACTTAAAATTGTTGTAGCTTGTAGTTTTTTATTTTCATTTTATGTAACCATTCCATACACATTTCTTCCCGCCTCCCTCCCACCACCTTTCCTCCACCCATCTTCATCCTCTCACACCCTTCCTCACTCTCATCTTCGTTCTTCTTCCCAACTCAATGGAAATAAAAAAACGGAAAAAGTTACCAAACATGCCTTCAACATTATCATTTATTGGAGTGATAATCTAACCTCATAGAATCAAATCCATTTTTTTTGGCCGCAAATGCAAACCTTATCTAATCTTTGGAGGATGGTTTTGCACGTCGGCCCTTCATTACTGGTGGTTGGCCAAAGTGCCACAAGA